CACGGTTTACGTTCTAGGGGGCGCCAAAGATGACCCAAATATCCATATTCTTTAAAGTGTTAAAACATTTTATTTTTGTCCTCACTGGCCTCCACGTTTTCTAGGATGATGCAATGTCCAGCCATCAACACATTTGTGAAGGACTTTTTTCTCGTTAAAAGGCTCAAACGCATCGCTCTCTCGGCAAAAGCGAAAGGAGAAGCAATTTGCCATTTGGATATTTCCTAGCTGTGTTTGTGCCCTCACTCGTGGTCCAGACTTTTTTCAAATAGGACATGTAGTTTGTCTGCAGCCAGCGTTTCGGTAGAAACTGCGCCTCCCATTCATTATAATGGGAAATGACCAAAGACAGGTGTGCACACTATCTTTGGACCTCGACTGTGACGTCACAGTATGACATTCAAATGTTATTTGACCTCTGACCTTTGGTGGAGACGTGAACCTTTCAACCTGCAAAAACAGCGTTTCAATAGCTCTTACGGCTTTTCTACAAATACACTTTGTTCTGCTGCTCCTACTGTCTCTTCAGAGCTGCTTCACAGATCATCAAAGAGTGTGCATGTGTGTAATAATATAATCATTTTTAGTGACAATGATTTTTAGTGACATCATACATTTGTTTTTTTCAGCAGAGGCAGCCACCTTAAATGTTGACGTGTGTTTTCTGCAGTTGCATCACATGGCCACAGGGTGCCAGTGTTGGACTCATTTTCCAGGGTCTATTGTTGTTGCTAACATGTATTTGTAAAATCAAACCCCTATTTTTATAATAGAAAATGTCCTGTGAAGATTTGTCCACTGCAGTGACCGCAGGGGCGGATCTAGAAAAATATTCATGGGGTGGCAAGAGGGGGGCAGGAATTTTTGAGGGGTGACAACATATGGCAGATATATACTGAGTTTGATCAACACAAAAAGGCATGGCTGCCATTTACAAACATGACAGACATTCTTCGTCCAATACAATCTTTCTTTTATTAGGATTCTCACACCAGTAAGATTAATACAATGAGGCATGGAAAAATAAAAACAACAACCCATTGCAGCTCCATGGATTTAGACGAGTGTCACATTTTAAACCTTTCTCATATGCAAGCATGAAAATGGGTCAGGGGTTGAAAAGGTGAGAAGGGTGCGGAGGAAATACGTTCTGGCACACTGTACAACCCAACAAAATATTGAGCTCTGTTCACACACATTGTGTTTCAGTGATCTGCAGGAGGCGGCAAAAACACTCCAAGTCACACCTGCTTGCTTTTTTGCAGATGCCTGCTTTTGCTATTTTAGATGGCTCAAAACCAGGGCCGTAATCAATCAATCAATCAATCAAATTTTATTTATATAGCACTTTACAATATCCCAAATGGTACCCAAAGTGCTTTACATAAAAGCAATAAAATAACACAAGAAAAAATACCATTGTAAAATAATACAATAGAATAGAATAATACAAGAACGATGAAATAATAAAAATGAATATGAGAATAAAATAATGCAATAAAATAGTATGTAGAAGTGCTAAAAACCTATAAGTACAGGACTACCTAGTCAGAGTTAAAAGCAAGTCTGAAAAGGTGCGTCTTTAACTTTGATTTAAATAAACTGAGGTCAGTGGTGGTGCGTACATCTAGCGGCAGTCTGTTCCACAGCCTAGGAGCTGCAACAGCAAAAGAACGATCACCCCACTGTTTGAGTTTTGACCTCGGGACCTCCAACAGGCGCTGACCGGAGGAACGGAGGGCCCTGCCATGATCGCGAACAGTTAAAATCTCTGACAGGTAGGAGGGGGCCAGGCCATTTATGGCATAAAAAGTAAATAATAAGAGTTTAAAATCAATTCTAAAACAAACTGGAAGCCAGTGTAGCGAAGACAGCACAGGGGTGATGTGTTCACGCCTAGACGTGCCCGTTAAAAATCGTGCAGCAGCGTTCTGTACAAGCTGGAGATGGGAGATTAAAGACTGGCTGAGGCCAACATAAAGGGCATTACAATAGTCCAGTCTGGAACTGATGAAGGCATGGATTGCCTTCTCGAGGTCCTGCCGACTTAAAAAGGACTTCACTTTGGCCAGGAGACGCAGTTGAAAAAAGCTGGTACTGACGACAGATCTAATCTGTTTATCAAACTTAAGTCCACTGTCAAATGTTACCCCAAGATTCTTTACATGTGGCTTGAAAAAAGGCGCCAGATTTCCCCGAGTCTGTAATCGAAACGTTTGATATCGTAGCCAGGATTTTGGAATAGGTGAGGTCCATGATGCGCGCGCAGAGCGCGCGCTGAAATTTTTTTTAATGTTTTTTTTTATTATAATTTTTTAGGCTACAAGTCACACAAGATGTTTATTGTTTAAATATATTTTATTTATTTTAAATTTTTTTTTTTATTCCATCCTCCTCCGTGTGCCTCTGCTCCCCTTCCATCTCTGAATGACTCTCCTCTCTCTGCTACACCTAACTTTCCCTATTCTCTCTTCCATCCTCCTTGGTTTCATGTTTACTATCTTCCTCTTTGTCAATTTCTTTCTTTTTCTTTGCCAGAAATGCATCCAGGGTATTCTGTTTTAATCTCTTGAACATGTTTGCCCTGCTCTCTGTGACTTGTTTTCTGTGGAATGGGTATATTAAAATTAATATGAGCTGCAAACTTGCTAGATAAACTGAACATTAATATCTAAAAGTGCCCCCTCTAACTTCTTAACCCATATGTACTTTCACTTACCAAATGATTTCTTGAAGTTGACATATAAGGTACTCAGAAGGTCTACTATTTTTTACTGTTTTTAAACTGTTGGGTTTATTTTGTAGCGGCTTTAGAAGAGTGCTATGATGCAAACGTGTACAAATAACTAAGACGTCGCCTGAACTGCACTAAACAAAGCAAACGTCACATAACTCGAGTGCTGCGTCCGAACTGCCCGCTCGGATACTACATGCTACTGCTACGTGCTACTGCTAGATCCTACTCCTACATACTAAAAACGTTGGCCCAATTCGGACACACTAGACGAGCGGTGGGGAAAGACGACCCCCGCAGGCAGAGAGTAGGTACTGCGCCCGTGCAGACAGTGGTAACTGAAGCCCTTCATCTGTGGGCCTGGCTGTAGTACTGCAGCTGTGCAGTTAAATGATGGAATAAGTGAGCTTTACCTCCATGATGTCGCCACTTGCTCATAAAATGATTACTTGGGAAAATATGACACCATGACATGACAAAGAGATACAACCGCACATTTTTTAGGACAGTGTGTGAAGTTACATGAAACTTACATCTGTACTGCTGCGGTCCCGCCTGCTGCTGCTGCTGCTCCGACATGGTGCGCGCTGCTGTGGCCAGCCGGCGTTCGCGACGCATCTAAATAGGCAGCAGCTGGTGGCGCTAGCATCACATGCGCTTCTACAACTTTTAAGAGGACGAAGAAGAAGCCCGCGGTGCATTTTGGGTCAGTAGCATGCCCGTAGGATGCACCGAGACCAACCTACAATGTGGGCGTGTCTAGCATCTGAAGTAGTATCTGAAGTAGCATGCTACTCGCTCCGGTGGCCAATTCGGACATGCTAGATACTACTTCGACTACTACTTGGCAATTCGGACGCAGCTGAGGTCCTCGAGTAGTCGCATCATCGTGACGCGTACTCGGCCAGCTGATGAGCCGGGCGCTCATCAAAAAAGAAAATAAGCGCCGGGCGCGCTCTCCGCTGTGGATAAAAGTAAATAAACTGGCTTTGATCAGATGATTTGACAGGCCGAACTAGTGCCAAATTATCTAAAAAATATATATTGTGGTCACCTAGGTGTAGATGGGCGGGGATGTGATCTATGAAGTGCTAATAATAAAAATACTTTAGTTTTTGAATGGGGTTTCACAGGGCGCAGTCGCGGGTACGTGCATCAGCTGATCAAACAGCTGTTCACCGCAACACGCACACAGGCACAAACAGAACACAAAGCCCATGGATGTTTACCACAAATTACAAGCACATTTCACAGAGAGGTTTCAAGTTTTTATAAGTTTATGTTTTATTCAGTTGGGCGTATTTGGCGAAAAAAAAAACTCGGAAAAAATAGGTGAGTCAAGGTAAAGAACAATAAACTTTCGGGACAGCAAATATTCTGAATCAGAGGGCTATTGTTTTCGGCTAATCTGTATAACCTGAATGAAATCATTAAAGGCACACGCTTTTGAATCCGTCCAACGGTAAGGAAAACTTCGATTATTTCGCCTTGTTACGTACTTTCAACCGCGCTCTCGTCAGGGGTGCATTCTACGGCACAACACCGGCGAGGATAAGTCCTGGTTCTCGTTCTCGCAGCTTTGCAATGCTACCATAGGCTCTCCAAGTACTCCAAGTACACGTGAAGAGTGTGCGCATGATTGGTTCTCGTCAGCGAAGCAGCCAGGAGGATTTGCTGACCGTCCAAGTGTCATTTAAAGGGCCGATTTCTGAAGTGTTCAGTTTACGTATTAAGTCAATCACATGATAATTAAAAAAAAAATAAATAAATCTCCCGACCCCGACCCCTCGGATCTACACGATTCATGTAAGTCACCTTTTTTGACTTCAAAACGGCGAATTTCGCCGAAAGGTGAGAGATTTTCATGCCTGAAAATGGCTTTTGCCTTTTTCTGTCTCTGTCTCTCTCTCGCTTCGAGCCCATAGACTGTAAGTTCGCGCCTCTCCCATCAAAGAAGTCTCGTGTCGCTCTCGCGCTCTCTCGTGCTGCATTCACTGTCGTCGGACATCGGAACTTCGCGCTGTTACATTTTTCTACCGGTTCATTGCTGCCGGTTGGGGTGGCAGCAGGGGTGGCAAGGGTTAATTTTAGGGTGGCACCTGCCACCCCATGCCACCCCAGTAGATCCGCCCCTGAGTGACCGTTATACGTGAAAGGGTTAATTGTGTAGTGGAAGTGTTTAGTGTTTAGGATACACACACACAGACACACACACACACACACACACACACACACACACACACACACAGAGTCTGTTTTTTAGCACCTGCAAAAACATGCTATTTACATATTAGACAGGAATGCAGAGGCTTGCCCCTGAAAAAATCAAATGTCAAACGCAAATTGGCTGGTCATTTCTCCAAAAGACAACCATGAAGCGCTATCTAAACCTGAAGCATGCAGTTGCTGCATGTGTACAGTAACCTGAGGGGAGTGAGGTGAGTGCTTCTGAGGAGAACATGAGCAGTGAAGATTCACCTTAGAGCCAGAACAGGGACGTGCACATGATTATAGAGGGGCAGGGGCTCAAGTCTTTTCCAGTCCTTTATACAAAATGGAAATTAATGTGAAATTAAAAAACAAAGTATTAATAGAAAGGTAATGACTGTCCTGTGTAGATGACAGTGATATCCAATAGGCTAGGCACTCACGAGGCTGGCTGTGGCAAGTGTAAGTGAAAGCAACACGCACTGGCAGGAAGAACAGCAAACGCCGATGAAGGAAAAGGGTCTTTGCAGTGATAGGCGTTACCAGAGAGGGCGATGGCCAGAGGACGCGAATGGGACGGGGAGGCAGCGCGTTGGGGGGGGGGGGGGGCGTGACACGGCTCGGGCCCGCCAGTGCCCCAACGGGGCCCTAGTTTTTGTTTTGTTTTCCCGTGATGCGCCTCAGGGGGGTATTCCAGAAAGCGGGTTATGTGAAAAACTCTGAGTAAGTTAACCCTGAGATGAGGGAAACTCTGAGTTATCCGTTCCAGAAAGAGAGGTAACTTAAACACTGGGTCAGTTACTGCGGTAACTTACTCTGTGAACATAACCTGCTCGCTGACAGGTTTACTATAAGAGACCCAGAGTTTCTACATGTCTCCTCCCACACAAAGAAAGCGGTTGAACATGGATTGTCCATTCCTTGAAAATCCGATCGACATCGAAGCCAGAATAATGAGCAACGGTTTACGTCGCGAGAGAATCTTCCGACCCAGATTAGACGTTTTATCATTTCCAGAAGAATTTATTTTCGAACGCTACCGCTTTTCTTTGAACAGTATAATTTATCTAAATAACCTTCTCCGGCCGTGTATTCAGTGTACATGTCAAACTCCAAATTCCACTTTAGAATGTAAATGAATGGGCACTGCCAGTAGCTATATATTAAGACACACTTCAGGATGCCCCTCTGGATCTCTCCCTGTGGCAGCAGACAGTGTTTCTTCATCCTCCTCCTCCTCCTCCCCCTCCTGTAATGCAGGAAAATATACTGTTTCAGAATACTTTGAACTACCATCTGAGGAATCTGAGTATGGAAGACTTACAGCTACAGGGTTTGTTTCTGTCGGAGGCTGAAGCAGGCAGATGACACCATCCACAACTGTTGGGTGGGTGGATATATATTTGTTAAAAAGTAGGCTATATATATTTATATATTAGTTTGATTTTTTTTAAAGACATAAGTGTATACTTGCATCTGATGTAGGGACTTGTGTCCTGGGGGGTGACAGGCTCGGATGAGCTTCCCCCGGGGATGCCTTCAGCCACAGGGCGACCCCTGTTTTGGCTGAGGGCCAGCTCCTCAGCCTCCGTCAGATATAGTGGAGGTGGCCCTCCACCCGTTTTTCGGGCCTCTGCCTTCTTTCTGTTGGCTGAGCAGAAGTCAATGTTTATTTTAAAATAGTATTTTAATCAGTGTTGGTGTAGGCTACAGCGTCACATTTTAAATGACTTCAATAGGTCTAAAATATAAATGTGTTTGTATCAAGTGTTAATCCACGAAGTGTAGAATTAAGTGAGAGGACGTTGAAAAACTACATTTTGTTTGGGGTTTAAATTATTATTTGAAGTAGCCGCTGAATTAATATTTTAGTTTAAATTAATATTGACTTTGTCTAATAGCCTAAGTCCATTTTTTGAATTATGTTTTTATGTTTCATTTTGAGCTGCTTCCAAGTCCTTTTTTCTCCCGTTGGATTGCACCTAAATGAAAATCAGATTTCATTCCTACTTATATTCATAACTATAGACTATGCTTCGATCTTATATGTTACGTCAGTGGAATAGTACATTCAAACTTACGCATTGACTCGCGCAGCAAATTTCTCCCATGCCGTCTCTCTCTCCTTCGCTGCTGCAGCCGTGTTGGATTTGCGGCGAAAAATGTTCTCATACTCGCCGTAGGCCAGCATAAGGACCTCCAACTCCACCGGGGTGAAATAAATTGACCGTTTTTGCTCTGTTGTCATGGTGACTCGTGGTATCGGGGCTCCATTGATGATGGCTTTTTATACTGGTTGTGCACGCGCGTAACTCCAGGTTATCATACTCGGAGTTGATTGAACTAATTCAGATCAGCTTTTCTGGAACCGGATACTCAGAGTCTCCCATCTCAGAGTAAGTCAACTCAGAGTTCAGGGATAGACTCAGAGTATGTTGAACCTGCTTTCTGGAATACCCCCCAGGGGTCCGTTTCATGTAGCAGGTTTAATGGAAACTCCGAGTTTGTTAACCCTGAAATCAGGGAAACTCTGAGTTTTCCGTTTCACAAAGGAGGGTTAGTTAAACCAGGGAGAGAGGGGTAACTCTAACCTGTTTCACAAAGAGAGGTAACTCAACCTCGCGGTCAGTTACCACAGTAACAGACTCCGTGAACCTAACCTGCTCGGGAGCAGGTTTAACTCAGTAAACCCAGAGTTTCAGGTGAGACATCGGCATCGGCAGGTGAGACATCGGCCTCCCCCGTTCGACGATCCGATCGCAAATCCCCCCCCCCCCACAGACACACACACACACACACACACACACACACACACACACGCACACCAGTCCGACGATCGCTGCTACGGGGTGGGGGTTGCGATCGTCGAAGGGGTGGGGGGGCAGCTCCTCTGCCTCCGTTAAAGGTGTGGCTGCTGGGCCACCACCCGTTTTTCTGGCATCTGCCCTCTTTCTGTTTGCTGAGTGAAAGTCTAATATTGAGTGTAGTGTGTGTTAGTTTAATATATGTACATATACATACTGAGAGTTAGTTTAATATTCCTAATCATTTAACGGAACATCATAAGAGAGTAAAATTCATTTTTGAGTGTGAAAAGAGCATTTTCTAAGGGATCAAACTGCCACTTAATACTTACTTGACAATGTAAAACATGATCAAAATGATTCAAGCAGTTTCCCTGCAACAGTCTGTCATTGTGATTGCACGAGACTAGATTTAAAGTTACGCATTGACGCGAGCAGCGATTTCCTCCCAAGCCCTCTCCCTCTCCTTTGCAGCTGCTGCTGTATTGCACTTTCTGTTAAAAACGTGCTGTCATTCGCTGTTGGCTTGCTGCTGCCCCCTCCTTCTCCCTGTTTCCATTGGTTGATCATTGAATCTGCGCTCCACAGATGCTGGCTGTTTATGTCTGGCGTGCACGTGCTTAACTCCAGGTCAAACTACTCGGAGTTGTTAAAACCGTCTCAAATCAGGGGCCTGTTCTACGAAGCAGGATTACTGCTTAGCGAGGTAACTTTGAGGATAAGTTCGGGGTTTCCTGTTCTACGACGCGGGTTCACCTCTTAGCGAGGCGAGTCTCCATAGCAACATACGCTGAACGGCTAAACTGCTCCGGGGCAGGTTAAGTTCCAGATTGAACTCACCGAGTATAAAAACCCCGCCCACTGACCAATGAGCTCTCTCGAAAAACGGCTTGTCCGTTCTTGGAGGATCCTGTAGACCTCGGTGCTCGCATTGTCCGAGGAGGAGCACTCCGGCCCGCGAGAGTTTTCAGGGAGAGTTTTCTCCGGATGACCACCTTTATGAAAGGCTCATATGGCCGACATATCACACAAAATATGTAAACACGATAGGAATGAACAAATGAATGATTCATCTTGGGAATGAATGGGCATGGGCTGCGCGATCACAGACAACATCTCGGTACTATTTAGTAGCAGCGCACGCCCCTTATAATAACCCCCGTAAATACTGTTGTTCAGGACTGCTTACTTGTGCTTCCTACCCACTGTAACAACCGTTGTTCTTGCCCACATGCAACATTTTTGTTCTCATTCATGAAACGCTTAAATCAGGGACATTTTCGGGGACAGCTTTAGCCGAGGACAGATCATCCAATTCGGGGACTGTCACCTAAGTTAAAAGCGCATGTTGAACAGTGCTATTTCAGGGTGATAATGGCATCAAAGATTACTTTTCTGCCAGCATTCCCTCCGTGCTTTTGCAGCGGCGACGGTGTTGCTTTTGAGGTTTATGATAGCTTTCAATTCTTCATACTTTCTCATGATCGTCTCCTGTTCCTCGTTTGTAAAGTCCGCGGTCCTTCACTCTCCAGCCTGCTCTGACGCTCCAGACTGGTCCATGTTCGCGATTGGTCAGATGCGGCGGGCTCCGCCTTATATGTGTGCACGCGCTCATAGCAGAGCTGGATCCACTTATGAGGTTGATAACCAGCGTCGTAAAACCGCTTAGCGAGACCGCTGGCTACCGCGCTAAGTTGAGCGAGGTAGCGCCAAGCCTACCTCGCTAAGTTGAACCTGCTTCGTAGAACAGGCCCCAGGTGTTGTGAAACCGGAAACTCAGAGTTTCCTAACTCAGAGTAGATCAACTCAGAGTTAAGGATTTAACTCAGAGTTTGTTGAACCACCTACGTGAAACGGACCCCAGTTCTACACTTACTTGTATTATGTTGTTCATTTGTACGAAAGCCAAGAACAGTGGTAGACTTGTCTTTTTTTATGCACTGTTATCGCGTGATAATGGCTAATCTTGTTATCTCGACATAACAAAGTCTGTTATCTTGAATTATTATTTTTTCCTTATCATAACATAGCAAAGATCATTTTCACATGATAACAGAAATGGTGTTTTAGCCATCCTCAATGGTAACTTTTAAAAACGTCCTCCATATTAGGATATTTCTGTCTGTGTAGATGAGAGGGGCTGTTTTGGTCAGACAGGTGTGTTAATTAGGGAGACTCTGGCGATGAAGTTTATACAGTTAATACCGATGTTTACATCAGATGGCTGCTACTGCTGCAGTTAAGCCAGCTATCTTTCGCTGAGGCTTGGTCAAGCCAGCCACTCTTGAATTTTCAGTGTGCTTGTATTGCAACCTTAACAGTAACTTTACAGGCTCCAGCTACTCGAGCAGTCAACACATAGTAGAGATATGATAGAATGGACCAACTTCTGGTTTTCAAGATAAAAGGCTGGTGATCCAACATTGATTTGGAGTCATTAGGTCACATGACACTGAGGCTATTGAGCAAAAATGCAGAAGACTCTGGTGATGAAGTTTACACAGTCAATACCATAGACTGTATATAGAATGGACAGCGTCTGCCTCCTTGCTGGGTGAGGCCACTCCGAGAACAGCACCCTCTGTTGATGGGCTGCAGTATTGGTCATAAATCCCGCCTCCACCAGCAAAGCTTGTGGAGCTGTGGACAAACTTTAGAAATTTATTACACAGAACATACATTTTTCTCCCCCTGCTTGCAGTGTTGACATGTAGTTACTGTAAGACTGGTTTGTGCTCAAGTCCTCTTTTTTCTGTAAAGCTCTGTTTTTAAAAGTTATTGGGGGTTCATGTTTTCTTTGATTGACACCTGATACAGCCTATTCGCATTCAGGGATTGTGTAGCTCTCCCGGGGGGATACAATGTTTGAGCCGAGAGTCATCACAGCGACTCTTGGCGACTCTCCTGCCGAATGCGCACAACGCTACTGCGCAGCACTGGTTTCAGGAAATGAAGAAAAATCCCGGAAATACAGAGAGCTTTTTGGCTTCAAATCCGTATACAGGCGGGAGGCGGAACCAAGTTGTCCATAGTATATACAGTCTATAGTCAATACCAATGTTTACTTCAGATTGCTGCTTTGTGTGAGCATGCGCACATATCTAACATTGTGAAGGATCCTCAGTGTGTGAGCCTCTCTCCCTGTAATGACTAAGTTGAAACATGTCACAAATCCATTCAATTTCAATTTGAACAATTTCAACTGAGCATCTGCAGAATCAGTGTCATCAACCTAGCATGTTTCTGATTGGATGAATAAACCTTGTTGCAACCATCGCCTTGTTGCAACTGTCCCCAGTCTCCCCTACCTCTTTCCCATTTATTTATATTTTTTCATGACATGCAAGACATGCAGTAAATATTGGGAATGGTTCTCTTCAAGAACCCACACAATCAGAAATTGATGCAGTATTAAACAATAAGATGCAGAACAGGAAGAAAGTTTTTTCTAAATTATATCATGCCTTTGTTGATGTTTGTGGGGAAGTTCAAAATACTCTTACCATCTAGGGCATAAACTAGCCTTATTTAAGATGATACATATGCTTTATTATACACCAGATAAACTACATGAAATGAACAGTGAGATGTCTTTTCTCTGCTGGTGCTGCAAGAAAGAAAAAGGAACATGTGACTCACTCTCCGTTTTTGGACAGCATTTACTGTCTGTTACAGTGTTGTTTGTTTTTTGTTTTGTTGTCAGTGTCTGTAAGCAGGTTGTTTCCCACATTTTTGTTTGCCTTTTTCATTTCTTATTTTGGCTTTGCTGTCAGTGTTTTTGGTGTGCTTTGAGGGTATATTATTTTGGTCCTCTGATTGCTGTGAAAGGGGCTAGCCCTCATTGAGGAATGGAAAATGGTGACATAAGGTGTTCCGTGTTTCAAACATTTTTATCGAGGTTATCAAGCCTGCTTTATTGTGTGTTTAATTTGATTTATTCTGATTTATTCTCTGTGAGGGAACATAAAATTGAGTTTTGTGTTCGTATAATTCACAATCAAATTAGAAAACTTACCTGTAAAATTCTTATTTAAATATATATATATATATGTGTGTGTGTGTGTGTGTGTGTGTGTGTGTGTGTGTGTGTGTGTGTGTGTGTGTGTGTGTGTATAAGAATTTTACAGGTAAGTTTTCTGAAAGAAAGAAGAAATGGCTAAACTCACAAATTCCACTGTAATTTGTAATTTTGTAATTTCTTTTCTTTCCTAGTAAATCGCAGGCCTTTATCTTGAAACAACACATTATAAGAGAGACACACCATCGACAACGGTACCACATCATACTAGGTAAGGTTTGAGTGAATTTTTATTGTAAAATTATGCAACATATTCATAACAGGTCAATCACGAACCACTGTTTATTGCTATGACAAAACAGTGCATGTAAGGAGGTTATGATCATGTGCTGATAGAAATTATGAACAGTTGTCAAATCTACTGCCTATTTAAAGACAACAATTGATTTTCACATCCAACCAGTTTGTTGTTACTTTTTATCTGTGTGCAGCTCTTGTCACTATCTAATGGATGTTTTGTGACCAAAAAACTGAAACTAACCAGGGACAGGCCAAATCCACTGAATAGTATCAAGTAAGAAAAAAAAAAAGGAAATCATAAAGATAGTGATGCCAAATTTAGTTTTATTGTGTGGCCAAGTATCAGTATTTTTTATTTTACCTATTAGTTTACAAAGGGTTTTAAACTGATAGACATTTTGTTACTGTATCTTATCCTGTCTCCACCTTCAGAGCAGAACATATAACTTTGCTGACCTCTAGTGGTTCAGCTGCCACACTGATGTGGCGTAACACAGTGCACAATTCTGACCACATCCTTTTTGGTGGGGTTTAATCAGAGGTGCATTTATGTGTATGATGTGATAGATTAGATTGGATTAGATTACATTAGATTAGATTCAACTTTATTGTCATTGAACACAGTACAAGTACAGGAGCAATGAAATGCAGTTTAGCATCTAACCAAAAGTGCAAGGTAGTAAAGTGCAAGGTATGTACATATGAGCAGTGCAGGAATGAACTAAATATATGTATTTATATATATATTTAATATATATATTTTTTTAGCAATAAACACCTTTAGACATTTTGCAGTTTCTCTTTCTGTGTATCCTTCTTTCCTCAATGTACAAATCAGTACTTCTGTTTCTTTACTCAGTTTCTTCTTTTTAGCCATTTTTGTAGTAGTTTGAACGCAGTTGAGATTTATTAGGATTTTTGTATGCAGGCTCTCAAAAGCCAAAAAGTTGAAGTGAATAATCCAACTGTGATTTGTGTTTTTGCTTTTGCACTGAAGTTGTGACTCTTGCAAATGTTTTCAACCCTAAAACTAAGCCCTTATTATCTTTTGCTGACATATATGAAGCAATGGTCTGTTGACATCAATGTATATCTAAAGGTTAATGGAGTGAAATGGTGCATTTCCATGAAAGCAACATCTGATCATGGAGTAAATACATCCCAAAATACATAAAACTCATGCTGGATTTTTTTTTAAAAAGCATTGTGAACAAAAACTTGAAGTTACTCCTAAATGTTTGGCCTGTAATGGCCTTGCTTCCAAACTTTTGGCCTGTACTGTACATATATATATATATATACTGTATATATACTGTATATATATATATATTGTAGCATCACAAGGGGGCGTGTTGACCCAAAATGGCCGCCGCTTGAGTTCCAAAATGGCCGACAGGTCAAAAAACAACAAATCCCAACTGGACAGCTGCAGGTATTAAAGGCAGCTGATTGCCAGCAGAGGAAGAGAAGCTGGTTTGGGAGCAAAGAAAGGAAGGCTGAACCCACGCTGGAAGAGAAAAAAGAAGTTGAGAATCATTAAGAGGGACAGACCGGAGGAGAGAAACCCTGAAGTTTAGTTGTTTATTTTTGAGAAAATTGTGGTTGAAATAAAAAACCTCCTTTTTGTTTGCATTCCCCGCTGGATCTGGGAGTCATTTCACACTGGCCCACACCTCGCCTGCTCTTTAAACCTCTCATGATGCTACAGATGGTGGAGAATGCAGGCACTGGGACCTAAGTGTGGATGAGTGGGAGAGAAGAAATTGACCAGTTGACAAAGCAGTTTTCAAAACTCCTAACGACCGACCCCATGAAGCAACTCCTGCAGATGCTGCTCGAGACCCAGCGGGCCCAGCAAGAAACAAATGCAGCACTGTTGCAGCAACAGATCAGAACCAATGACCTCAAAGAACAGGAACTATTGCAGTTTAGGAGGGAAATGCCAAAAGCCGGGGAGGTTCTTCCTAAACTCAGAGTTTCTGATGACGTGGAGGCCTATCTTCATGCTCGAGAAGGCTAGCCAAAAGCACAATGGGTGGGGATCTTAGCTCCCTTCCTATCTGGTGAGTCCCTTAAAGCTTTTCAAGATGTAGAGGCCAGTGTGGCACAGGACTATGATCTGCTAAAGGGAGAGATCCTTAGCCGGAGCGGGCTAACCAAGTTTGGCCTGGCCCAAAGATTCCATAACTGGACATTCCAAAGCAGAATCAACCCCCGTTCTCAGATGCATGGACTGATTAGAGTGACCAAAAAGTGGTTAGAACCGCACAAGAATAGTGCCACTGCCATCATAGAGACTATTGTAATGGATAGGTATCTAAGAGCATTACTGTATGAGGCCAAGAAAATAATTCGCCATCAGAAGTTAACAACAGCAAACGAGTTAGTTGAGGCTGCCTCAGACATGCTACGTCCCAGCCGTAAGGAGACGGTGACGCTAGGGCTCCCCCGTTCAACAGGACCTCGCCAGAGGGGACGAAGACCGATTAATTCTCCCTCTAGTTCCCCCCCAAAAATTTTTAGTCCACCTGCTCAGGTGCGAGGTAACCCAAACCTAGGAACCCGCCAGTGCTATCGTTGTGGCGAGTTGGGACATATATCGTGGCAGTGTGAAAAACCAGATGAGCCCATGCCCACTGAGGAATCAGTAAGTGGTCCCCAGGTACATTTTGCAGCTCTGATGGGGGAAACTGGCAGTTATCGCTGAACCTGCCCAGTAAAAGTAAACCAGTGTGATGTAGAAGCCTTGCTGGACTCAGGGAGTGCTCGTACTTTGATAAATGAATCTGTATTGGAACCATCCCTGCAGCCACAGGGTCCATCAGTCCCCGTGGTATGTGTGCATGGGGACACCCACGAGTATCCCACCACCACAGTGAAGTTAAAGACAACAAAAGGTTCTTTTGACGTTGAAGTGGAAGTACTCAAAACCCTTCCTGTTCCGGTTTTGATTGGCCTGGACTGCCCTGCCTTCACACTTCTATGGACCGATGCCCAAAAGAGGCGGACACGGGATCCCAGAAAACGTAAGGGGCCAAAGACTGACATAAGTACCTCATGGGTCAATCATGCCAAAGCATACTCCTCTTCACCAGGTCCCGCCCAAGCATTCATTGCAGACTCCAGTGGCACAGAAACTGCCCCAGAGGGATCTCCAGAAGCAGAGCTTCCTTCCTGGCCCAGTGAGGAGGAAGCCGCTACGCCAAAAGAAACAGCCCCGTTGAAAGGTCAGTACGGAACGGCACAATTTGGGACCCAACCTTGGTAAATGCTTTAAAAAATGTCCAGGTTCTGGAGGGGACCTTGGTTGGGCCAAGATTAGCTCCAACATTCCCTCATGTCGCAGTTAAGAATGGACTCCTGTACCAAGTAATAAAAAGTAATGGGAAAGTCATAGAGCAACTCCTAGTGCCCCCACCACATCGGGCCACAGTATTACAGCTAGCCCACACTCACCTACTAGGAGGCCATTTAGGGGTGGACAAGACTAAAGAAAGGGTACTGCAAAGGTTCTTTTGGCCTGGGGTGCACAAAGAAATAGAGAAATACTGTCGTAGTTGCCCGGAATGCCAGATTACCGCTCCAAGACCCACTTACAAGAACCCACTTATCCCTTTGCCGATCATTGAAACCCCTTTTGAAAGAATAGGGATGGATGTGGTAGGGCCCCTACCCAAGAGTGCTCGGGGACACCAATATATATTAGTCATGGTAGACTATGCCACCCGATACCTGAAGCTGTTCCCCTCAGAAAGGCCAATGCTAAACAGATAGCTAAAGAACTGTTCCTCCTTAGCAGCCAGGTAGGGTTGCCTGAAGAAATCCTAACGGATCAGGGAACCCCTTTTATGTCAAGGGTGACCAAAGAGTTACATGTCTTATTGCATGTGAATCAGGTGAGATCCTCCGTGCACTACCCACAGACAGATGGATTGGTAGAAAGATTCAACAAGACCCTCAAATCAATGTTGAAAAAGGCGATCGACAAAGATGGACCAAACTGGGATCAACTTCTTCCATATCTTCTGTTTGTGGTAAGAGAAGTCCCACAAGCATCTACTGGTTTCTCACCCTTTGAACTGCTGTATTCCCACAAGCCCAGAGGTCTGGTAGACATAGCCAATTAGACCTGGGAGGAGCAACCCTGCCCACATCGCACTATGATCGAACATGTGGCAGTGATGCGGGACAGGATAGCAGCAGTCGTGCCCATTGTGAAAGAGCACATGGAAAAAGCACAGCTAGACCAGAGTAAGGTATATAACAGAGCCAGTCAGCACTGAGAATTCAAGGTGGGAGACAGAGTCCTAGTGCTAGTACCCACAGTAGAATGCAAGTTCCTGGCAACATGGCAAGGACCCTATGAAATCATTGAAAAAGTGGGAGAGGTCAACTATAAAGTCCGCCAACCGAGAAGGAGGAGAGGTGAGCAAATATACCATGTTAACCTCTTGAAAAAGTGGCATACCAGAGAAGCTTTGTTTAGTTGTCTCCCAAACAGAGAGGTGAAAGAACCAGCGCGAGACGAAGTGCAGATGGGTCCTGATCTCTCCCCTCATATACTCCACAAAGCAAGGGAGCTGGTGGAGGGCAATCAAGATGTCTTCTCATCCCTCCCTGGTTGTACTCACCTGATTGACCATGAAATTCGCACTCAGCCAGGAAAAACAGTACACCAAAAGCCCTACAGAGTGGCTGAGGCCCGTAAGAAACTGATCGAGGAGGAGGTAAGGGAGATGCTCAAGTTAAATATCATTGAACCATCCAAGAGTGCCTGGGCCAGCCCCATTGTTCTGACGGACAAGCCAGACAACACAATACAGTTCTGCAATGATTTCAGAAAAGCAAATGAAGTGTCTGAGTTTGATGCATACCCTATGCTGCGGGTGGATGAACTGATTGAGAGCTTGGAAAATGCCCGGTTCATTACCACCCTAGATCTCACAAAAGGGTATTGGCAAGTCCCTTTGTCCGCAGAGTCGAAAGAGAAAACAGCCTTTGTAACACAGGGAGGCCTCTGGCAGTACCAGATGATGCCCTTTGGACTTTTTGGAGCTCCTGCCACCTTCCAATGACCTATCTAGATGATGTTGTCATCCACAGCACAGACTGGGAAAGTCACTTGCCACGGGTGCAGAGAGTCCTCGAGTCACTCTGACAAGCTGGTTTGAGGGCAAATCCAAAGAAGTGTAAGTTGGCCTTCAGTGAGACCAATTACCTGGGATATACCATTGGCCGGGGTCTCGTCAAACCCCAAGAGGCAAAACTAGAGGCCATCCAGAGTTGGTCAAAACCGCTGACCAGGAAGCAGGTGAGGTCATTTTTGGGACTGGCTAATTATTATCGATGTTTCATCCCTGACTTTGCAATGGTAGCGGCCCCGCTTACAGACTTGACGACAAAGAAACACTCCAGAATGGTGAAATGGAACTCAGCAGCAGAAGAGGCATTCAATAACCTGAAAGCTGCATTATGCTCCAAACCTGTCCTAACAGCACCGGACTTCAGCAAAGAGTTTGTGGTTTAGGTGGATGCTTCGGAGGTAGATCTGGGGGGCAGTGCTTGCCCAGGTCAATGAAGGCCAGGACAACACAATGGAAACGCAGATGCACTGTCACACCGTGATGCTTTCTGGACCTCCGATACCCTGCTGAGGACGTCAGGCCCGGGGAGAGGGATGTGTAGCATCACAAGGGGGCGTGTTGTCGAAGGATGCTACATATCCTGGGGTAACCAGCAGCATCCAAGATGGCCACTGCTGGACACCCAAAATGGCCGCGGCTTGAGTTTCGAAATGGCCGCCAGATCAAAAAACTACAAATCCCAACCTGCAACCCGACCTGGACAGCTGCAGGTATTAAAGGCAGCTGATTGCCAGCAGAGGATGTGGCCTTGTTCAGATTTAACCAATAACATTCAAACTCAGGTTTAATTGGAGTCAGCACACACTGTCACCAATTAAAGTACCTCTGATCAACCCCAAATCAAGTTCAGCTGTTCTCGTAGGCGTTTCCTGACATTTTTGTTGCCACATCTTCGAGCACAAGCCATGGTCTGCAGAGAGCTTCCAAAACATCAGAGGGATCTTATTATAGATATCAGTCAGGTGAGGGCTACAAAAGAATTTCCAAGGAAATAAATATACCATGGAACAGAGTGAAGACCGTCATCATCAAGTGGAGAAAATATGGCACAACAGTGGCATTACCAAGAACAGGACGTCCTTCCAAAATTGATAAGACGAGAAGAAAACTGGGCAGGAAGGCTACCAAGAGGCCGACAGCAACACTAAAGGGGCTGCAGAAATTTCTGGCAAGTACTGGCTGTGTAGTACATGTGACAACAATCCTGTCTTCTTCATATGTCTGGGCTATGGGGTAGGATGACAAGACGGAAGCCTTATCTTACAAAGAAAAACATCAAAGCCCGGCTTAATTTTGCAAAAAGACATCTGAAATCTCCCGAACTTGTGGGAAAATGTGTTATGGTCTGATGAAACCAAAGTTGAACTTTTTGGACATTATTGCAAAAGGTATATGTGGTGCAAAATCAACACTGCTCATCACCAAATGATCACCATACCTACAGTTAAGCATGGTCATGGCAGCATCATGCTTTGGGGCTTTTTTTCTTCAGGTGGAATTGGCGCCTTAGTCAGGGTGGAGGGAATTATGAACAGTTCCAAATACTAGTCAGTGTTGGCACAAAACCTTCGGCCTTCTGCTAGGTAGCAGAAGACAAAAAGGAACTTCATCTTTCAGCACGACAGTGACCCAAAGCACACATCTAAATCAACAAAAGAATGGCTTCACTGGAATAAGACTGAGGCTTTGGAATGGCTGAGCCAGAGCCCAGACCTGAATCCCATCGAACAGTTGTGGAGTGATCTGAAGAGGGCTGTGCACAGGAGATGCCCTTGCAATCTGTCAGATTTTGAGTGGTTTTGCAAAGAAAAATGGGCAAATATTGTCACATCAAGATGTGCCACGTTGATAGGAGTGCTGTAATAAAAGCCAAAGGTCCTGCAATAAAGTGTTAGTTTAAGGGTGTGCATATTTATGCAACCAGGTTATTTTAATTTTTCTGTTTTATATTTTTCCCCTTAAAGGTTTCAGTTTGTTTTGCTATTGCATTGTACAGGTTATATTAATATAATGTCAGGCTCTCAGGATAAGGCTCTACTTTTATAGTCAATATGGTTTAAGATTGCTCACAAATTTAATGCCACAGTCAACTTTGAGAGGGGGCATAGTCCACATTTTTAGGATTTAACTGTTCTCCAAGTGCAGAAGTTCTCAACCTTTTGCAAGCTGGGACCCCCAAAGGTTGTTCAATGCAGTCCCATTTACAACAGGATGTAAACACGGTTCTGACACAGTGAGTTACTCACGGCCTGTCTGGACCTGTGGTCTGGACTTGGTACCAAGTCCAGAGATGCTCCTCCTGTCGGCCTCTATCAGGACACCTGAAGCTAAAGCGAGCTAAAACTTTTTTCACACAATGCAAATGGATAAAATGCGCTGACCGTGAGGAATGGGATGTAAACAGGAATAATATCGGTGGATTATGAAACTGTTGGAGCTGGGTGACTGAAAATGCTGACTGGTTTAGACACTTGCCTGGACAACTTATTCAGCACTCTTTTAGGGTCATTAGGTCACATGACACCAGAGCTATTGAGCAAAACTACAGCCATCCTCCTATGAAATATGAATAATAACTTTCAACAGTTTCAAAAGTGATATAATGATATGAGAAATTACTTTAAAAAGCTGATCTAACTAGGTCTTTACAGTTGAAGGGATTTGAATGTGTTGAGGTTGGTGCAGTCAAGGAGGGGTTGAGGGAGCGAGTTCCAGAGTGTGGGGGAGGCAATGCCGAAGGCTCCTTTCCCCCAGTGTCGCTGGTTAGTCCTGTGCAGGTTGGAGAGGAGGTTTGTATGGGATGAGCGGAGGTTCCAGGGGAAGCCACACTTTACACACAGGAGGGCTCTGTCTCCTCCATCCCTCCACCCAAGCAGGTGCACCTCTCCCCCGTATGTGGCCCTTCCAGGACTGGATAGGACCCCTCCTCCTCCTCAACCCAGATCAAGCCAAGCTCTACTTCCACAGCCTTGTAGGGGAGGGCTGTCTCTGACCTCTTCCTCCCCCTCTGACACCGTTTGTCTGATCTGCGCGCCTGGTACCCCTTGAGGAGCAAGTGAACATCAGTGGGGCCCACTAGTGTTGTGTCGTTCGTGAACGATTCGTTCAAAAGAACCAAATCTTTTAAGTGAACGTACTGAACCTCGCCAGGCCAGCAGCTGGCGAATGAGGGACCACATGCACCGACGCCTGAATCACTTGGTGAATGAATCAAGCATTGAACTACACTCTCTGGAATCATTTTTGTCGGACAAAACTACCTTGTTTTTTTTTACTGCTAAATTGCCACCACAACAACTTTCATACACAGCACAACAAGTAGTGCATTAAACCCGCAGCATCCTATCATAGCAGCGGTTTGCGAGGGACCGGTGCATGTTCAGTGTGAATTCTTCTAAACGTTCAGTGAATGAATCACTCACTGACCCCAATTTACCAAGCGGACCTGGTAAATAGCATACCACAGGTCAGTACCATAGACTGCACATAGAATGGACAGAGTCTGCCTCCTCGCTGGGTGAAGCCACTCCGAGAACAGCACCCTCTGTTGATGGGCTGCAGTATAGGTCATAAATCCCGCCTCCACCAGCAAAGCTTATGGAGCTGTGGACAAACTTTAGAAATTTATTACACAGAACATAATGTTTTCTCCCCCCTGCTTGTGACTTTGACATGTAGTTATTGTAAGACTGGTTTGAGCTCAAGTCCTCTTTTTTTCTGTGAAGCTCCGTTTTTAAAAGTTATTAGGGGGTTCATGTTTGCTATGATTGACACCTGATACAGCGTATGGGTGTTCAGGGATTGCGTAGCTCTCCCGGGGGATACGCTGTTTGAGCCGAGCGTCATCACAGTGACTCTCTGCAACTGCACGGCCGAATGCGCGCATTGCTACTGCGCAGCACTGGTTTCAGGAAATGAAGAAAAATCCCGGAAATACCAAGAGCTATTTGGCTTCAAATCTGTATACAGGCGGTAGGCGGAACCAAGTTGTCCATAGTATATACAGTCTATGGTCAGTACACTTAAAACATCATGACTTATGAAAAAGTTAATTTTTACAAACCTGTTTGTCAAAGCAACACAGCCAATCACACTCGTCTCCCAGTCCCAGAAGCTATGAAACTGAACTGAATCCTGAACTGTTCAGCTGTTTATCAGTTCAGGAGGTTGGAGTCACAGGCTTCTCCCGCTAAATGATTCAGTGATTTGGTGAAGAAATCTTTTGAACAAATCTTTTCAGTGAACTGATTCTAGTGATTCAGTACATCTGAAAGAACTGCCATGCCCATCACTAGGGCCCACAGCCTACAAAAGCTTGGATCGAGGACTTACTTTCAATAGATCGCAGTGAGCGAGCTGCTCTGCAATGCATGAACTCCTGACCCAGAATTAAGTCGTCTGCAAGTGATTTTGCACCAAAAAATTGCATGTAATAATTTAAATAAAGAAATAGTACTTTGTATTAAACAATTCACAAAATTAAAAGAAAAACAAACATAGAAATCAAAGCCAAAACAGCGGCCAATAAAAAATAATGCTTCCCTCTCTCTCCCTTTGTTAAATGTCAGTTAAACCCATGAACAGGTGATCATATCAACTTAGTCCTGACCTTATCACTGCACTCCATTACCATTGTGACAATCACTCCACAACTAAAGCTTTCACACTGGACGAGATGGGGAACGTTTGTGCCTCCCCATTTGACTTTCCCCCAGTCACTCTTGTTGTAGACAGTTGTTCTCATCTTCCTGAAATGTCTTTGTCAAACCCAGATTTACCCATATCAAAATAACCAAGACACTATTAGGGATGCAGATTGACTTTATTCTACTTGACAAACAACATGCTTAGGGAGACACTTTTTGAACTTCTGGTGCCTCAGGGACAACAAATCGATTCCATGACATTCATTCCTCATCGTGTCCTTTCTGAAACAAGAGATAAACAATAAAACACATGTTTCTCCGTAATCCCATCTTTTTTTCTCAATGTATGTTGTGTACCTCCCAAAAGAGGGGTAATCAATTACTGACCTTTGACCCCACATCTCGGCTCTTGGCACGAAGCTTGTTAACCTGGGACTCAGCAATGTCCGCTCTCTCTTCAGCCTCATCCAGCTCATGTTGAAGTTTACGGAACTTGGTCAGATTAGTGTTGGCCTGTTCTTCCTGTAGAAAAGAAAAGCACAATCCCATCATGTGCCAGATGTTGGTTGTTTTTTTTTGTTTTTTTTTAATGGTATGGGCAAAAATGATGAAATAGTGCTTTGAGTTGTTGGGGAAGGGGGGACATCGAGCAATGGTCTCAAAATTAAATCAAGTTGTTTGATTCTTCTCCTTTTCATACTTCCTGACAGCTTACCGCCTCCTCTGCAGTTTTCTTGTAAGATTTGACCTTCAGCTGTAGTTTGTCTACTAAATCTTGCAGGCGAGCCAAATTCTTACGATCCTCTTCAGTCTGAAAACAAAAGAAAGAAAGGTTGGAAGTTTAATTAACAAAAAAAAATATACATGATATTGTTGAAAAAAAAAATTAAAAAATACCTGATAAGTTAACTCTTTGATTCTTCTCTCATATTTACGTATTCCTTTGACAGATTCACTGGATCTTCTTTGTTCAGCCTCTAGCTCATTTTCCAGTTCTCTAATCTGTCGGGAAGTGATAGAATGGATGCCTCTAGATATTGCTTTAAGGATTTCAAGGATTTAGTGGTGTTATTGAATGTTTCTTTAAACATTTCAACTATTATTGTCACTCACCCTGGCCTCGAGCTTCTGCATCTGCTTCTTTCCTCCCTTCATAGCGATCTGTTCAGCTTCGTCCAGACGGTGCTGCAGGTCTTTGATGGTTTGCTCCATGTTCTTCTTCATACGCTCCAGGTGAGCACTGGTGTCCTGTTCTTTCTTCAGCTCCTCAGCCATCATGGCAGCGTCAGTAATGGCCTTCTTGGCCTTCTCCTCAGCATTCCTACACTCCTGCACTGCGTCCTCTACTTCAGTTTGGAGCTGGACGGTATCACCCTCCAGCTTCTTCTTTTGGTTTATTAGGCTGGTGTTCTGGTGGTGTACAATTAAAATCATACAATTCCATATTGAGTTGTTAATAATGGCAAATGATAGTGCCAGGTCCAGGGACTACAACATACCTGTGAGTGCAGCAGCTGCACCCTCTCACTGACATCCAGAAGCTCTTGCTCAGCAAGTTTGCGACCTCTCTCAGTTTGCTCCAGAGCAGACCTTAGCTCCTCAATTTCTGACAGAAGAAGGTTGTTGCGTCTTTCAACTATGGCAATGTTCTCCTTCATTTCATCACCGGTTCGAAGAGACTCATCAAGCTGGAGCTGGGTGTCCTGTATAAGTGTGACAATGATTTAGAGCAAGTCTTGTGTCAAGGTGTCAATGACTCTTACTAATTATTGTTAAGCATACCTTCAGATGTGCATGAACAGCCTTGAGCTGTTTCTGAGCCTCAGCTGCCTGCCTGTTGGCCTGGCTAAGCTGGATCTCCATCTCATTGAGGTCTCCCTCCATCTTCTTCTTCAGACGGAGGGCCTCATTTCTGCTGCGAGTCTCAGACTCCAGAGAGCTCTGAAGAGTATCCACAACCCGCTGTTGGTTTCTCTTTGCTTGCTCCATCTCTTCATCTTTCTCTGCCAGCTTGCGCTCAATATCAGCCTTGACCTGGTTGAACTCCAGCTGAGCTCTGAGGATCTTCCCTTCTTCATGTTCCAGTGAGGCCTATCATGGCATCGAGGAGAAAAAAGTGAGGAGAGATGAGATATTCCCAACCCCAAAAATGATGTTCATTTTGTAAAGCTTGTCTTTCAAACATTCAGCGTACCTCTGCCTCCTCCAGAGCTGTTTGAATCTCAGACTTCTCTTGTTCAAGTTGTTTGCGAATCTTCTCAAGCTCATGGATATTCTTCCCACTCTCACCAATTTGTTCAGTAAGGTCAGATATTTCCTCTGAGAGATCAAACGTTACATTAGCAAAGATTGAAAACTGACTTTATAAGAGAGATGGACTCGGGGTTACCCTTACCCTGCAGATTCTTGTTCTCTCTCTTCATGGTCTCCAGATGCTCTAGAGATTCTTCATAGGAGTTCTTGAGTTTGAAGAGCTCAGTGCTCAGAGACCTTGCTTCTTTCTGAGAGCTCTCCAGCTCCGTTTGAGACTCCTCATATTTTTGCTTCCATTCTGCCAAGACCTTAAATATGCATATTATAGGGTTATTATCTAAAATACGAATACCTCAAAAAAGTTTGATCAAAATTCTGTTAAAAACCAGACATTTGTGGTTTCCTAATCTTTTAAATTTATGTTGAACTTTAAAATGATGCAAAGAAAACCTATCCAAATCTGAAACTCTCAGATGCTTTTTTTTTTTACAATGACACTGGTTTGATTTTAATTTGATGCCATAAACATCTTTCAAAAGAGGGACTGGAGCCATTGACCACTGAGTTGCATCACCTCTACTTTTTACATATGTGTTTGGGCATTGTCTTGCTTGAATGTGCAAGATCTTCCTTGTCCAGAGTGCATTGCTCAAAAATGTGTGCATATGTTCAGCATAAATATTGCAAAGCTAGATGTGTAACCAACTCACATGCCATTAGGGTTGCCAGGTGTTAGATAATTACCGTATTTGTACAATAGTTTTGCCTTCTGTACAATGTACGATCAATAACCCAGAAAAAAGCCTAAATGTTTCATGAACATGTGGTGCAATGGTACCGTCTCAGTCCAGACACTTTATTTTTAATTTTTGTATTTGCAGACCCTAAAGGCATCTTCTTCCACATGATATTTCCATCCAATCGTAGTTTGAGTGATGTTTGTCTCTGAACAATGAGCATGTTTGGCTGTCAACTATGCTCAGTCCCCACTTAGTTCAAAGAATAGCAGAACTAAAGAACTAATGTGTTTATTTTAGAGTCTACCTTGTCAAAGTTTCTTTGCTTCTTGTCCAGAGCAGCAGCAGCGGCATTAGACCTCTCCACATCTACCATGAGATCTTCAATCTCATTCTGCAGTCTGTGTTTGGTCTTCTCCAGAGAGGAACATTTAGCATTCACTGCTTCAACAGCCTCCTCAGCATCCTGCAGACGCTGGGCCAGCTTCTTTCTGAATATTGATAGAATTTAGTCAGGACTCTTTCTTTTCAATTTTGCAGAGGAGTTAAAGTGGAAATAATTTGGACTCACTTTGCCTCCTCCAGTTCCTCTGTCCTCTGGATGGCATCAGTTTCATACTTGGTTCTCCACTGAGCCACCTCAGAGTTAGCCTTGGACATGCCACGCTGGAGTTCAGCCTTGGCCTCCTGCTCCTCCTCAAACTGCTCCCTGAGCAGGTCACAGTCATGACGGGCAGACTGCACTGCATGAGCCAATGCGTTCTTGGCCTGAAGTGGAAATGAAGCATAGGTTTAAACGTGATCATTTGGACTGTTTTAGATGAAGCACCATGGTCAGTAGTCTGTTACCTTCACTTCCTCCTCCAGTTGTCTTTTCAGGTCTTCCACTTGTTGAGTGTAGGACTGTTTTCCTCTGGTGAGTTGAGATACCAGGGAATCCTTTTCCTCAAGCTGCCTTGAAAGTTCAGCTAATGTGAGAGAAGGTTTCATTAAGTTTTCAGTATATTTCAGAGTGAATGCTCCTCAATCAAAGAAATTTGTACCATTTTCAGTTTGAAGTTTTGCTTTCTGCATAGAGAAGTCATTGATGGAGCGCTGTCCCTCCTCTGCTTTAGTTTTATATTCATTCATCTGATCTTCCAGAGACCTGCACATTTTTTCCAAATTATTCTGAAAATCAAAAGCATTCACAAGGCCACATGAACTTCTTTAGAAATGAAGAGGTTTTTGTTTTACTGATGAGTAAAGCAATAATCAGGCCATCAATACACAAATATCATGGATGAAATCCTTTTACCTTAGATTTTACAATCTGTTCCATGTTGGAGACCACATCATCCAGCTCCAGTCTGAGCTCACTCTTCTCCTTCTCCAGTTTCTGCTTGACTCTCTGCAGGTTGTCAATCTGCTCTCCCAGGTCAGCAACACTGTCAGCCTGTTTCTTCCTGAGTGTGGCAGTGGTGGCTTCATGCTGCAGAGTGGCCTCTTCAAGGTCTCTGCGGAGCTTCAGGAACTCTGCCTCTCTCTTCTTGTTCATCTCGATCTGGGCAGCTGTTGCTCCTCCAGCCTCCTCCAGTCTCTCACTGATCTCCTCCAGCTCTCTGGCCAAGTCTGCTCTCTGCTTCTCCACCTTAGCTCGGGCAGCTCGCTCTGCCTCCAGCTCCTCCTCAAGCTCCTCAATGCGGGCCTAAAACAAAATTAGTTAACAGCCTTGTGTGAGTTGAAGAAACAAGTACTGGGCAGAAATGTTATATTCATACATTTGTTGTCTAAACTTCATCATATTGAAAATATCACCTGCAACTCCTTCAATTTTTTCTGGAGCTGGGCACTTATTGCCTGTTCATCCTCTATTTTGCTCATGAGTGAGCTGATTTCAAAGTCTTTCCTGAGGGGAAAAAAATCAATATGTACTAGCTGACATAAAATTTACATGAATATGTGTCACTACAGTGTACTCTCTTGCAATCTCCTACTTTTTCAGCCTCTCTTCGAGTTGCTGCTTATCATTTTCCAGGTCCATGACGGTCTCCTGAGCTAGCTTTAGGTCTCCCTCAAGCTTCCGCTTTGCTCTCTCAAGGTCCATCCGTATTTTTTTCTCTTGCTCTAGGGACCCTTCAAGCTGTGGGAGTCAAAGAATATCTGTTTAAGGTTTTAATTGTCAAAGACAAAACAATCTGATCTTGAAATTTTCTCCATTCTTACATCGTCCACTTGCTGTTCCAGCTTAGTTTTGGCCTTGGTCAGAGTGTTGACTTTGTCTTCTTCACTCTGCAGGTCATCCAGTGTTTGCTGATGAGCTTCCTGTAAAGCCTTCTTTTCCTTGGTCAGTTTAGCAATGATCTCATCCTGAGCAGCCATCTCCTCAGTCAGGTTTTTAACCTGCGGCCAGTAGTTTTGTCAGAGACTTCAACTTGGATATAAATTCCAACTCACAAAGCATTTTTACATTAAATAAGAGTTGACGGTACCTTGTTCTCGGTGGCATGCTTCTCTTTCTCAACTTTTGCCAGGGTTAACTCTAAGTCATCAATATCTTTCTTTAACTCTGAACATTCATCCTCCAGCTTTCTCTTCTTTGCTGTCAGATCAGCATTCATCTCCTCCTCATCCTCCAGTCTCTCTGTAAGCTCTTTGATTTTTGCTTCCAGCTGAATCTTGCTCTTGATCAGCCCCTCACATCTTTCTTCTGCATCACAAAGATTATCTTGCTCCTGTTGTTGTGACACAACAATGTTTTAGACAGAAGTGTAATGTGATTAAAGGGGATTAAAAATGCAGTCAAGATTTCAAACATACAGATTGGACTTGGAGCTGCAGGTCATTCTTCTCTTGGAGAAGTGTGACCATTTTTTCCTCTAGCTCCTTTTTGCGGGCTTCGGATTTTGCAAAAGCCTCTTTAAGTTTTGTAAACTCTTCCTTCATGTTGGCCATCTCCTTCTCAGTCTCAGCAGATCTCAGCAGAGGTTTGATCTTGAAATACAGCTTCATCCAGGGCCAATTTTTGACCCCCATGAAGGCACGAACGTTCCACTGGATCACCAGTAATGCATCCCTGCAGACAACATAAAAGAACTGTCTGAAGAGCCTTCTAATGCAAATGCAAAACAGCAGTAACTGATAACAGTCATAAACACCACCCAATACCTTCTATATAGGTTTTAACCCTTCATGAGTCAATGCAGAGTTTATTGTTTGTTATGAAGGGTTATATGAATAACAGTTGCCTTGACAGTACAGAGTTTTGCCATAGGTACCTTCGTTCAACGATCTTCTGGAATTCAATTCTTGCCAGAAGACCTCGTGACCGAGCTTGGATGCCAGTGATGATCAGAGCTAGACGGTCATCCCGCATCTCCTCCAGCAGACCCAGCAGTCCAGCTTTGAAGAACACCTTTTTTGTGGTGGTAGATTTTAATGATAACCTTATATTTAAATATATATATGTATATATATATATATATATATATATATATATATATACATATATATATATATATATACACGTCTTAATCAAGAATGTTAATCAAGGTTGGACAAACTGACCTTGGTGTGCCCCAGTCTATACTGGTTGTGGTCAATATCAAGAGAGCCCAGTAGTTTCTCTGCAGCCTTCTTGTTGTCAATAAACTGTCCCTCAGGAATGGCATTAGGATTCAAAATACGGTATCTTTTGACACAGATTTAAAATAGTGTCAGTGTGTAACTTGTATGTATGTTTTTATTGTTAGATGTGAATGTGTTTATGTATCATCATCTTTGAGCAAACCTCTGTTTGAAATCTCCATAGAGGATCCTGTTTGGGAATCCCTTCCTGCAGATCCTGATACCTTCCAGCACACCATTACAGCGCAGCTGGTGCATCACCAGAGGGTTCTCCATGGCCCCAGGAGTCTTAGTCTCATTGGGTATGATGCAGCGCACAAAGTGAGGGTGAGTAGACCTCAAGTTGGTCATCAACTTGTTCAGGTTCTCCTGTAAAGTATACAAAGTATGAGGTGCTTTTTAAACTTTGTTGACACCAAACCATATCTGCTGACAGCACAGCCAGTTATCTGTTAGTGACCCAACTGATGAGGATTAAAACTGGAGCTCTATTTATCGTCTGTGTAGGTTATCCTTCATCCAGGTCATGGTTGTCCAATCGTTCGTTGAAAGGGCAACTGGACTTGTTTGAGGTTCTGGAGGATGTTTCGCCTTTCTTTCAAAGGGCTTTTCTTTAGTTGAGGCCAAAAGACTTAGGCCAAAGTTGGTCACCTCAGAGCCGTTCACAACTGTGTCACCTGACAGTTGTTAGCAGGGTCATTGACCTGGTGTCAGCTGGGGGGCCACCCTCCTGGGTTTCTTGAGGTTTGCCATACTTGCCTGATGTTGGAGCTAGTGATCCAGCATGATTCACCATTGCTATGGTGGTTATCTAAAAAAATCCAAAGCTCAATTGTAGGTAGGGGGTAAGAACTGCCTTTTCTTATCCCCCCTGATCTGATCCCCAACCTATTACATGGAAGAAACTTTGTGGGACCAGAAACTTGAAATACGAGTATAGACATTGCGCCACTGAATAGCATTTTGGCAGAGTTTTGCATAACTATGCCATTACTCTGTCACACAAGTATGTGGTGCTCTTGACAATGTCATCACCTTTCCAAGTGCGCAAGTGGAAGGGCAGGGAACTCTCAGAGTTGTATGGACAAATATAATTTTTCCATTCAACTAATAATTCTCTTTGACCATAGTGGTCCAGACAGAATTATAGCTGTAGTGGTGTGAGGGAGCTTCCAATATTTAAAATTTGTACATGAAAAAAAACCTTACCCTGTGCAAAGCTGACACAGTTTGGAAAGAGGAACCTTTTTTCTTGCTACCCTTCCCTTTTCCACCACCAGACTCTTGAGCTAAATGATTAAAAAAAAAGGACATGTCATTGTAAGGACACTTTACAAAATCCAAAAAATAATCAAACCTATGTTAAACATTATTCATGATTATACTGTCCCTTTAATGTTTTATTTTGGAAAATGTACAAACACATCAGTATTGAATGTTAACATACTAGAATCAGCTCCTGCATATCCAGCAAAGAGCATGGCTAATAGCTTGAGATTTGACTTTTGGAAAAGCCCAACCACTGTCTCATTAAGAGGATCCTTGTTCTTCACCAGCCAGTTGTTGATATTATAATCCACTGTTCCAGCGTAATGAACCAGGGAGAAATGGGCCTCTGGTTTGCCTTTGACGACTCTGGGCTTTTGGAAGTTATTGGACTTCCCCAGATGGTTGTCGTAAAGTTTGGCTTTAAAAGTGGCATCAGAGGCTTTTGGGAACATGCACTCCTCCTCAAGGATGGACATGATACCCATTGGCTAAGGAATATAAAAAATGGGGGAATAAGTCAATTAATTAAGCTTTGTTTTCAAGAAGTAAAACTGTAAATCTTTGGGTGATGTTAGTTAAGCACACATTTAGCTTATTTGCCTCATGAGTACCAACAGCTCACCTTTTCAATCAGGTCAATGCAGGCCTGTAAGTCCATACCAAAATCAATGAACTCCCATTCTATGCCCTCTTTCTTGTACTCTTCCTGCTCCAGCACAAACATGTGGTGGTTGAAAAACTGTTGCAGTTTTTCGTTGGTGAAGTTGATGCACAGCTGCTCAAAGGTGTTAAACTGTAATAACAACCGAAGTAAAAAAAAAAAATAACTTGGGCATTAAAATATTAAGCAGCAATATTCATCATGTTTGTGGGCACTATGTTTCCTTTTTAGACTCACATCAAAGATTTCAAATCCAGCAATGTCAAGCACACCAATGAAGTACTGGCGAGGCTGCTTGGTGTCCAGGGATTGGTTGATCCTCACCACCATCCATAAGAACATCTTCTCATACACTGACTTAGACAGTGCACCAACTGCATAATACACCTTAGGAAGAAAACAATAATCTTGAGAAGTTTTTATTTCAGTACAACTATCCTTCAAAGGTTTATTTCAGTTCATTACCTGGGCAACATTTTGTCCCTTGGTGACCCACTCATTTCCTACTTTGACCCTTGGGTGGCAGAGACCTTTGATGAGGTCAGCAGAGTTCAGGCCCATCAGGTATGCAACTTTGTCAGCATCTGAAGAGGGGGAGATAAAAGACAAGTCATATATGCATACATTTCTGCCTTTTAATCTAAAACAGACGTGTTACCCAAATAGTTGTGTTTTTATATCTATAGGGTTTTTTGTCACACTGCAAGTATGAAGTGTTGAGAAACATAATGCATGACACCAAGCAACTTTAAAATAGTGAGGGGAAAAAAAGAAAAAATACCACTGATCCAAAAGCTGTACCTTGCATTTTGTGATACAATATGATGTGTAAAAAAAGGGATCCTTTTTAAAAAGCCTCTATTTGATGTAAACTTCATATTCACCCCAGAGAACATTTGATGACATCTTACCTTCAGTGCCATCTGCCTCTGCCTGCTCCTCTCGCTGCTTCTGCTTAAACCTCATGTTTCCGTAGTGCATGATGGCTCCAATCAGCTTGTAAATGCTGTTCTTCTCTTCTTGAGTAAAGCCCAGCACATCAAATGCGTCCTAAGAGAAATTACAAAATGAATACTGGCAGAATTCAGGATGAATTAATGTGACTGAAAAAAGTTTAAACTTACATCAGTGGCCATCAGCTCCTCAGAATCATTGATAGAGGCTACAGTTGTCTCTCCCTGGGAGATGAAGGCGTAGTCATAGGGGTTGTTGGTGATGAGCAACATTTCTGGAAGGTTGTGTGTTAAGTAGAAAAATGCATTATACATTGTTGGAGTAATAAACTTATCACCCATGTATAGCACACTCTTACCCAGAAATCTTACCTAGAAGCTCAGGCTTTTGCTGAGACAGGATCTGGTAGAAAATGTGGTAGTCTCTCTCAGCTTTTAGCTGATAGGTCACACGAGACTTTTCCAAGAGGTCTGTGAAAGTAGTTATTAGATTTTCTTTTTACTTTTTGTGTGCGCAGTACCCCTAGATTTTCCCTTCTGCATGTTGTGATACATTTTTAACAGATTACAAACACATAATGCATTTGCCAAAACAAAAAGGTTCAGAGTTGACCAATTCCCAAATGATATATATGTATTGTTTTTATTTTATTCCATTTTTTTTTCTGTTGTATTTACCCTTTAACATTTACATCACATTGGAAAGACAATCACAGCATTGTGTCAGTGAGTTGTTGGAAACAGCCCTCCTGTGTGGAGTTTGAGTGTGATATCTTTGTGGGGTCATTTATCTTTACTCAGGATTGTTTCTTTGTCTTTTTCTTTGTGCACTCACACAAAAGTCCCTCTTTCTTGGGCACAGCTCAACAAAAAGCTTGACAGGCTCTTTGCAAGCTAACCACAGCTGATCATGGCCTCTCTACCACATGCATTTTTGCTGACGTAATATGTACGACTAAAACCATGACATTGCTTACCTTGAAACCGGTGACCCAATTATCCCTGGTAGCCTACCTTGCCTCTCACATGTACTGTGATTGCCTGCAGCTCTACAGAACTCCACAAAGAATAACAATTGTTGAGAATCCAAAAAAAAGGGTGCGTCCTTTTTTTTTTTTCTCACTTACAAGTCTCAATGTCAGCAGAGGCCAGCTTTCCTCGGTTGTCAAAATGGATTCTGATGAATTTTCCCTGTGAAGAAAAAAGTTTTTATTTATATTTCTGATGTAAGAGAAATGCTGGCTGAACTGATGAATAGCAAGCCACCAAAACGCAGCTACTCAGACACTCACAAATCTGGAGGAGTTGTCATTCCTGATGGTCTTGGCGTTCCCAAAAGCCTCCAGTGCAGGGTTAGCCTGGATGATTTGATCCTCCAGAGTACCCTGACATTGGTAAATAAAGACAAAACAACAGTGTGTCTATGCACATTTTGCTTTATTCTTGTTGCTTTATTCTGCAGTACACAGTGTTACTGCAGTACATACCTTCTTCTCAGCAGCCTGATCCTTCTTCCCACCTGGGGCAGCAGCAATGCTGGCAAAGTACTGAATGACACGCTTGGTGTTGACGGTCTTTCCAGCACCAGATTCTCCGCTGAGTGAAAGAGAAAGAGAACTGTACCTGAAACCGAAAACTGCTGAAGAGGATTTTATCAGCCGTGTGTGTGTGTGTGTGTGTGTGTGTGTGTGTGTGTGTGTGTGTGTGTGTGTGTGTGTGTGTGTGTGTGTGTGTGTGTGTGTGTGTGTGACTTACGTAATGAGGATTGACTGGTTTTCTCTGTCTGTCATAAAGAGAGGTTTTGAGATTGTCAGTGAAATGGACAGAATGATGACAGAGTAAAATATTTAACAAGTTCAAGTAATGACCTGCCAGCATGTACTGATAAGCATTATCAGAGATGGAGAAGATGTGAGGAGGAGCTTCACTCCTCTTCTTTCCTCTGTAGGCAACCACCACTTCTTGGTTGTAGACTGGGAGCCACTTGTAGGGGTTGACAGTCACACAGAAGAGCCCAGAGTAGGTCTGCCACATGAAGAAAAGGATAAGGGACAGTTGCCCGAGATGCTAAGATGTGTCATTAAAAAAGTAAGGGTAGTGTTGTCTTACATAGATCATCCATGCTGCATAACGCTCTTTGAGGTTAAACAGCACAGCTGGTTCATGAAGGAAGGTGAACATGGCCATGTCTTCGATTTTATCAAACTTTGGCGGATTCTGAGGGTTTACATCACTCTCTTTCACTGTCACAGTCTGTAGAGGAAGATACATGTTCTTTAGTCAAAGCTCAACACTTTCACACACCTAAAGAAAAATAAGCCAATGTGGAAAGAGGTTGAGAAAACTGCCAACTAGAATGTCAACTAGAAACTGGCTGCTGAAGCAATGAAAACTGCATACACTCATTCCAAAAAGCCCATCTATACAGCAAAGACAATTATTTTTATGTACAGATTTAAACACACAGCAGCTGTTTGCAAGGAGGCTAAAGGGCCAGCCTTGACTCAACCTCTTTGCCTCAACTGGATTGACCAAAACTAAGATTAAGTCTTCCAAAAAGGCAACTGCTGTTGACAGGCTTCAAAACTCATCTTAAGAAATGGCTGGATGATGTAGCTGAGACTACATCCATGTTAAAGTCAATAGTAAAATGAAAAAAATTGAATTGATAACAAATATTTGTATGTACTTACCTTTCCAAACTCAGTCTCAGCAGTGACTTTGTCACCATCTCGACTGGTGATAGATGCCTTGACGTACTCGACCTCGGGGTCAGGTACAAAGCACTCCTTCTTCATGTCAAAGGGTCGGGTCTGGGCCTCTAGACGCTCCTTATCTGACTTCCTGAGATAAGAAGCTGCTGGCCCAAACTCTGCCATGGCAGCATCACCCATTTTTCAACCTTGTGAAGATAAAACCATCTATATCAGCCACCTCTTCTCTTTGCACACAGATATGTGATATGTGATCTATTTTTCAAATCAGACCAATGGAAAACACACAGAAAGCCAAAGTTAGCCAAGTAGATACAGGTTTTTGTGCATGGAAATAAAAAATATCAAATGAAAAATTCTTTCACAATACAGTGAGAGTAATTGAGGAATGAAAGGGTCCTGAAAGAAAAGAGGTTTTCCAATCTTTAGGAACTCTTCTTTAGGTTAGCTGCTGTTGTTAAAAAAAAAAAAAAACTTGCAATGTTACTTCAAAGAAACTTTGGGTTTTACCTGTTGTCTGTCACCCCAAAGGAAAGTGGAATCTGTGCTATTTATGATAAGTTTGGGGAAGAAAAGAAAAAAGACATATCACAACTTAATGTGAATAAGACTAAGTTAAAAATGTAGTAAATTTTAAATATACAATCTATAAATATGAGATTGTGAGAATATAAATCTACACAAAATAATAAGTGACATTTACAGATGCTGTTTCTCACTGGAGTGAATGCTTTCTTACCTTTGACTGTCGACCCTCTGAAGTGAAACGATAGACCCAGTGGCTGACACCAGACAGCCCCCCATTAATAAAGGCTGTGTGCCAGCCAAATATGGGGATGAATATCAGAGAAATGGCATCCAGGTTTCCTGTCACAAAAAGCATTCCCCAAATTGGGTAGAGCCTACCGCTGCTATTTGTTGCTCTCACCTTGTGAACAACGGACTATTATGCCTGATAGGACATGACAAAGAAAGAGGATAGCAGGAGGTGGGGAGCAGGGACAGGCAGTAGTTCATCAGGCTATTCTGTTGTGTCTCAAGCTGGCTACTTTCATAAGTTTACAAGAAAGTAGATAGTTTTTGAGAAAAACTAACAATCTGAACAGCTTTTTTATTAAGAATAATTAAAAGTACACAAAGGAAATCATTAATTAACTAAACTGAATGGCTCATGATAACAATGACATGATAGGAGCTATTGCCCTGCACCCTTAATAACTGCAAAATTGTATCCATATATATATGATTTTCACTAAACCTATGAGGGGGAATCTGATTAATCTCTAGGTTTTAATTGATAAACTTTTATTGCCTACAAAATTGATGAACTGTGCTCAATGATGACAGTATATTTCTTATTCATGATAGAAAAGTGTAGCATAGACTAGCGTGATAGTCAAACTAAATAAAGTAAGCCAGCAGGCAATTACTGGGACATCAGATATCTTGAGTTCTGCAGTTCAACAATAGTTTGGTCAAGTGATATGGTGTGAAATACATTTCAAGAGGTAGAATAAAGAACTGCAGCTGTTGTCTATGGAGAGACAAGACAAGGCTAAGTTCAAGGTCACAGCTGTGAAATCCCTTTATTATGACTCACCACTGCCGACAGATACATACCATTACTTTATTCCTGCTCATTTGTTATTGTCTTTTCTTCACTAGCAATAGAAAAAGTCTCCCCCCCCCCCCCCCCCCCCCCCACACACCACACACACACACACACACATGTTTTTTTTCTGGGAATAATTATGATTATTATTATTATATAATAATTCTTCGTCTTCATGAACAATTTTCAGACAAAATCTATTCGGCAATAACATCAGTTTAATGAGCACAGCAGCATTGTTACATATAGTGGTGGGTAAAGAGGCTACAGTTGGAAAACAACATATGACCAGCATTCAGGCCTAAATTGATTTTTTTAAAAGGAACTATTTGCTTTTCGGAAAGATAATTCTGGTGCTGACTTGCAAGGGTGACAACAATTCATCATTTAGCTGACAAGCACATCCCTACGAATCATACTACTACAAACCAATAAGGGATGAAAATCCCACTGTCCAAACCTGCAGTTTAAGTCTGTCAGAGGTTCACAGTGTTCTGAATGAAGAAATACTCAGAAATGCAATTTTGCTCTTAGTTTTCTCATGATATGTCCTGTAGAATCAGAAAGATTACATATGAACATGTAGACAACAAGAAAAATATGGTTTTCATTGGAGTGGGTCTTTAAGTTATCTTTTTGTACCTATGCCAGAAAGTTTTGTTTAAGATGTTGTTAATTTTATGATAAACATTTGGATATTTGTTTTGTCTTTAATGGTATTAGCAGGGTTGAAAGGCTCAGACCAATTAAAGGGATATTCCGGCGTAAATTCAAGTTATGGTCAAAGACACCTTTACACTGAGTTAGACACCCACTTGAGAGATGAATGTTGCTGACTGCATGCTTCTCTATTTTTACCAACTTTAGTAAAGACTGCAGATAGCAATACACAGTGGTCTATGGATCCACGCACAAACCTCAACCAAAAAGCCACTCTAGAGCTAACTTCATTAACAGTACATATAGGGTCCAAGCCATAGTACTAACCGCCTAACATCTTTTTAGCTTTGCCTGATTTCTTTAGCAAAGAGACTAAACACAACTCACCCACTCTGGGAGTGCAGCAGAGTTTCGCAGCTCAAGGAAGAAAATTTATGATCATTATGAAAATGCAATCAGACCAAGATGCTAAGGCTAAGAAATTCTGCGTCTGCAGTGCACATACAAGATACATAAGAACTCTGATTGCATTGATGATGGCATGTCAACACAAGAAACATCCTGATAACACACGTCACATATCATACCAAACATCAGACAGGAGTAATGGCACATCTAGTGTACAGCTTATGAGTTCATTTCTTCATGTTGACTTTATGACCATGATGTTACTTTCAGGTTGTATCTCTTGACAATATGGAGAATACTTGTTACTCTGCTTAAAATTTATTTGGAGATCCCCAACTTTTGATTGGTGCGTAATGATTGACATGTCACCAACTGTGACACGAAGTCAAAAAGTGATCAAAACCAGACAGAAATGAGTAGGGATCAGCCAATATTGGTATTTCAGATCTGATACCGATTATACTGATACTAATTATTAGTCCATGATTCTCATATTTGGAACCACTATGCCTTTACAGTAAAACCCAAACATGTTATGTTGAAAATTATAAATTGGAATAATGTAAACTCCAACAAAAAATGTTAACGCCTGTAGCAAATTTTTAATTGAAAACTGATACTTTCAGCATCAAATACAGGAGTTAACAGATAACCAGACACATTTACAGTACTTTTATGTCACAGTTGTTTGATGATAAGCCAGTCAGATGTGGGTAGGATATTAGATGAAACAAAGTGGTGCAAGAAGGATTAGGGGAAAAGACACTCCAGCAGTGGGGCCAAAATAGTTCACTTTTAAAACTAATTTTGTCAGCTTTCTGTAAAATGCAGTAAAAAGCTGATTCAGATAAGTGGCTAATGTGGAATACTGGTCTACACCTTGGTCTAGGTCTGTTTTTACCATGGATGAAGATATGTGATTTATAACAAGAGAAGCAGGCTAATATGTCACATTCTCTTTAAAAGAAAATATTGAGTTTAATTTTAATTTCCCATAAGTAGTCTGGTAAGGATACAGTTGCTGTGAAAGAGTGACCAACTATTGAAAATGTGGGGACTATGTTGTTTGCTAAAGAGAGAAAGTAAAACAGAGTACCTAGCAAATGTTGTGCACTGAAATAAATTCATATTTGAAGTACTCAGTCTCTTGGCTTGTTTCCAAATGTTTGCTGCAGCTCTCCTTGGTGAGCGTCTCTTACTGAGGCATTGTTTCCTTCTCTTTGTCCTTGGGCACAAAGATAACTTGTGAAATTCCTGCTGGCTGCCTTTGAGGGCTTGGTGATGATCAGAGGACAGCTTGGGGACAGGTTTTGATGCGAGAAGTCGGGATAGGCTTTGTTTTTTGTCTGACCAGCAGCAACAGGTGAAAAACCTCAGCGGTACAAATAATGTAGTGGGCATTGCATAGTGATGTGCAAAAACATGGTAGATGAACCTATGTTCAGACCACATTTTAAAACATCAGTCAGTGTACCATTAAACTTAGCAGTAATCTATAATTGTTACCAATTGTAGTGACACTATAGAACGGATGAAACCCTTCAAAATTACCTGTTCAGAATTGTATAAAAGGACCTCAGCTGCTTTATGCTTCAGATCTCATTTGACTTGGTCTTGCGCCTTCTTGCCTTTGAACTAGATTTCTTATGTCCTGAACTCACCCCCTGTCTATTCCAGGCTTTAGCAAGTCACTCAACCACCCATGTAGGGTCTCATTCTCAGCTGTCCTCAGTGCTTGAGTCTCTGACTTTTATGAGTGCACAAGATCACTGGGGAAGGTGTGAGGCACCTTGCCTCATTAAAATTTAAAGCCAGCAGAGCTATTGTTAGTGTTTGTCCTTTGTTCTTGTGAAAGGTCACTTCTAAGGGAGTGTTAAGCTCCAGTGGAGGCCAGAACGTTATTGTTCCCTCACTTTGTCTTTTCCTCCTTTATTCAGACAGTGGGTCTCTGTGAAGAACCAAACCTGTGAACTGCTGGTCTTCTCCGTAATTAGGACATGCTGCTGTTAAGAAAAGGTACTGAATATTTATGGTTTTATTAGAAAAAAAATACCTGGAATCAATTTACCTGAAATGAATTCACCTGAAATCAATAGTGACCAAATGTCTTTATTGATTGTTGGACATGTGCTCCTTATATATATTAGGTTTGTTTTACAGGACCGAATCCTGCACCCAATCCAGTGTATCTTATGTCAACCAGACATCTTCATCAAGTCTACAGCTTTTCCTTGTCCTGAGAGTGCCCTCCTTCTCTGCCCTCGGAAAGAATATGTGTTTTTCAACAGACAGACTGGCCTTCTTTGCTATTATAAAGGTTAGTTGGTCTATCATTTCAACCCTTCAGACTTTTACATCAATAATCCAATTAAGATAAAGTACATGTAAGTTAAATTCATGCAAAAGCAAAGGTTGTTTTAGCAGTGGAGATGTCAAATTTTGTGTCCAAAACTAGTCACTCATTTTCAGTAAGACAAGTTTCAGCTTTATTGGTCTAACTGCTGATTTCAGATATAAACAAAAAAAACATGTAACATGTGCAATATTTTGTAAATTGCAAAGTCATGACCGGGAAGACTTCCTAAAGAGAAATATTAAGGCTCATATAAAAGCATGACCTCACAATTCTCTTTTATTATCAGATAAGAGTCTGTGGTGTTGTCTGTATCTACGATGACTCCTACCTGCTTCTTGTTGTTTCATTCTGTCAGAGACGTTTCTCTGCGTTACACCTGTGTGCTGCTTGGTGTTGTTGAGCCCCAGGTCAAGTTTGGAGAATACTTTGATGTCTTTCTTTCTTATCTCTCAGAAAAGCATAAGTAGGCAAGGTAAACGTGCCAGATAGGTAATAAGGCCCTTATAAGTGTGTACAAGATGCTTATTAACATTATTATTTGTTTATAAGACTATATATCTATTAATAGTCTCATTATAATACAGTTATTAGCAGACTTTAAGAGATTTATAATAACTTATAAGAAACTTGTTAACTGTTTGTTGATGCTTACGAACATTAATAAAATCCTCATGAGTATCTTATAACTGTTTATAACATTATAAACACATATATTGACTCAACTAGCCCAACCATGATGGCTTTATCATGCCTTTATTAATCTTTTTGTTTGATTTATTACCATTAATATACACTTTATTGCTCATCTACTGTAAGTTAACTATGCACTTATTAACAGTTAACTATGCTTTTTGCAGCTACCAGATCTAAAGTGAGAACAATGCCTTATTAAGTCTCACAAATCTTCTATTATATGGAGGATGACTCCTCTGGTAAGTTTAACTGCAGCTAACTGGTTAGTGCACATTCAAACACGCAGCTAGCTACATAGCTAGCTAGCCAAAGCTAGTTACATTAAAACTCAGTTTTGAATGTGCACTAACTCGTTAGCTGCAGTTAAACTTACCAGAGGAGTCATCCTCCATATCACAACGGCTCCTCTTGTCATCATGATCTTTTCGAGATCCAGAGCGGGTTTGTATTATCCGCGGGGCCGAAGATGTTGTTCCCTTCATTTTGCACGCGGCACCAAAACGATGTGCACATTGATCGTGGTAGCTTAAACCGGAAGTATCGGTTTTACACTGCTCTTTCAAAATAAAAGTAAAAACTATAAAACTTATTTTTGAAGGTAGTTCAACCAGAAAAACTTTAAACTTTACCTTCAAAAATAAGTTTTCTGATTTTGTTTAGCAGTGTCATCTTGGTAAAGTCACTTCTTTTTTCTCCTGTTCCGTTGCTTTTCGCGGGTCGCGTCTTTTTTCGCTTCTTTTCAGCCTACATCCGTAGCTGTTCTTGCCTTTGTGCGCTTCTCACATGCTTTTATTTTGAAAGAGCAGCTATGTAGCTAGCTGCGTGTTTGAATGTGCACTAACCAGTTAGCTGCAGTGAAACTTACCAGAGGAGTCATTCTCCATATAATAGAAGATTTATGAGACTTAATAAGGCATTGTTCTCGCTTTAGATCTGGTAGCTGCAAAAAGCATAGTTAACTGTTAATAAGTGCATAGTTAACTGATAACAAGGGCATAGTAAAGTACATTTTATTTTGATAAAGCAGGAGAAAAAATATTCTTAAAGGCATAATAATGCTCAATAAAAGATTTATCAGCCTTAATAAGACATTGTTCTCACTTTAGATCCAGTACCTGCAAAAAGCACAGTTAACTGTAAACAAGTGCATAGTTAACTTACAGTAGATGAGCAATAAAGTGTATATTAATGGTAATAAATCAAACAAAAAGATTAATAAAGGCATGATAAAGCCATCATGGTTGGGCTAGTTGAGTCAATATATGTGTTTATAATGTTATAAACAGTTATAAGATACTCATGAGGATTTTATTAATGTTCGTTAGCATCAACAAACAGTTAACAAGTTTCTTATAAGTTATTATAAATCTCTTAAAGTCCGCTAATAACTGTATTATAATGAGACTATTAATAGATATATAGTCTTATAAACAAATAATAATGTTAATAAGCATCTTGTACACACTTATAAGGGCCTTATTACCTATTAACTAATGCTTATTACAGGACCTTAATATAAAGTGTTACCAATCTATTTATAGAATCATATTGTTTAACACTTATTGGTATGTAGAGCCAAGTTTTGTTCTAAAAATCTAAATGATCTCCTATATTAAGGAGCAGAGTCTGCTATCCTATTGGAGTTTCAATAAACATTTCATTTGAGAAATGAAAAATGAACACTCTAAATGAACACAAACTGTCACTTGTTTCTGTTCTTAAAGTAATGCAGTTATTTCAGTATGTTTCAGTAGATCGACCCCAGTCCCCACCCTCTAAAATAAACAAGATCAGCTGTTGCAACATCAAGTTCTCCAAAACTGATGTTAATGATAAAAGTAAAAGTAGGACAATACATTAAGGAGAAAGCTAAAATCTACAAATCTATTACATCAATCAAATTTTATTGATACAGTGCTAAATCAAAACAGTCGTTGTGATTTTGCACTTTCCAAAATAAAAAGCAGGTTTAGACCACACTCATTGTTAAGAGTCTGTGAAGACTTGAGAGAACATGTTGCAGCCCCAATGTGAGAGACCATATTTTAAAACACTGGCTGCACAAGTATCATCTGTATTGTCTTTAAGTGGACTAATGAATTTAAAAGCAACAGCTGTTTTGAATTTCCTTTTGGGAGTCAGTGAATTTCTTGTATTGAATTGTACAGTTTTAGCCAACCATCATATCCACAGATTTGATCATGATCTTAAAGGTTTTGGGTGTTGAGGAAGCAACATGACCTGCTGAAATAGATAAAGAGTGACCACACTGTATATGTAGCAAAAGTGTTTGCATGTCAGCCCATTTTTAAGTTTATGAAATCAGAATGTATTTCCTTCCTGCTGAAACAATTATTTTAACTATACAATTTGGATGGAAGCTTTACAGTTTTTGTCTATGATCTGCATTTACACAGAGTGCAAGGGATTGTCTACAATTTATGAAAAATCCTTGTTTTCCTCTTGGTAGTTGTGTTACTCTTACACCACGCACTGTGGGAGCAACCAGCAGACAGAAACACTCATGGTATTTTAATGTCCATGCCATTGTTAATATTACAATAATAAGACATTTTTAGTTCCTGCAATTCTTTGATTTACAGAGGTACTTGTGTGTTGTGTTTGTAATATCATTATTGATGTTCTACTTTGGGGGTAACAAAAACTGAGAATGAAAGAGTGATGCTTTTATGTTATAGATTGATACATTCAGAAGTTTTAAAGCACTTTCTTAACAGGAGAGTCCAGGTTTATCTGATTGTCTGTCGTAGTTGCTCTCAAAACTAAGAATGTTGTGCCTTAAAATGAAGTTTACAGTTGTGGCTGGGTAAGGGGTGGACTGTTAGACTATATTGTTAGGCCGTGTACAGTGCTGTTGCGTGAATGTAAGTGAATGCACCTATATTTTCATCTTTAAAGTGATTGAAATTGTTTCTTCTTAACAGATAGCTTAGAATGGAATGGGGAGTACAAACAGACAGTTTGGTGGAAAAACATACAGCCAAAGAGAAGTCTTATCAACAAAGGAAATGAAAGTCAAGACACAGTTGCATGGTACATTTATTCTTCTGAACTACATGTTTAGGGAGACACTGTCACACATGCAACATGTGCCTCAGAAAAAGATTTTTTTGACAGAGCTTCACTCTTCATCAAGTCCTTTCTGAAAAACAAGAACATTAGATAAGACATAGTCAACATATGAATAATCAGGTGTTTTTTTTTTTCTTTCTTTTTTTTACATGATGTTGAACTACACTGACCTTTGACCCCACATCTCGGCTCTTGGCACGAAGCTTGTTGACCTGGGACTCAGCGATGTCTGCTCTCTCTTCAGCCTCATCCAGCTCATGTTGAAGCTTACGGAACTTGGTCAGATTAGTGTTGGCCTGTTCCTCCTGTAACACATATTGTATGTTACATTTCATTTCTGCTCAGCTTAAGCTCAGCTTTCTCTCCAGACTTTTGGATACTTACCGCCTCCTCTGCAGTCTTTTTATAGGATTTGACCTTCAGCTGCAGCTTGTCCACTAAATCTTGAAGACGGGCAAGATTTTTTCGGTCTTCCTCTGTCTGATTTATGTAAGTAAAACAAAATGTTGTATTTTATGTCATTTCAAATTTAGTTTCATAGCAATAGATGTTGGCCTATATCTGACATTACCTGATAGGTGAGCTCCTTAATGCGTCTTTCATACTTTCTTATTCCCTTGACAGCATCACTGGCCTTTTTTTGTTCACCTTCAACCTCATTTTCAAGTTCTCTGACCTGGAGGAGCAGGTGGTTTTAACAGATGTCAACAAAAGTCACTTAATATGACACAGACTTTTGAAGAATTCAAATGATGCAAACATAAATCTTACACTCACCCTGGCCTCGAGCTTCTGCACCTGCTTCTTTCCTCCCTTCATAGCAATCTGTTCAGCTTCATCCAGACGGTGCTGCAGGTCTTTGATGGTTTGCTCCATGTTCTTCTTCATACGCTCCAGGTGAGCACTGGTGTCCTGTTCTTTCTTCAGCTCCTCAGCCATCATGGCAGCGTCAGTAATGGCCTTCTTGGCCTTCTCCTCAGCATTCCTACACTCCTGCACTGCGTCCTCTACTTCAGTTTGGAGCTGGACGGTATCACCCTCCAGCTTCTTCTTTTGGTTTATTAGGCTGGTGTTCTGGTGGTGTACAATTAAAATCATACAATTCCATATTGAGTTGTTAATAATGGCAAATGATAGTGCCAGGTCCAGGGACTACAACATACCTGTGAGTGCAGCAGCTGCACCCTCTCACTGACATCCAGAAGCTCTTGCTCAGCAAGTTTGCGACCTCTCTCAGTTTGCTCCAGAGCAGACCTTAGCTCCTCAATTTCTGACAGAAGAAGGTTGTTGCGTCTTTCAACTATGGCAATGTTCTCCTTCATTTCATCACCGGTTCGAAGAGACTCATCAAGCTGGAGCTGGGTGTCCTGTATAAGTGTGACAATGATTTAGAGCAAGTCTTGTGTCAAGGTGTCAATGACTCTTACTAATTATTGTTAAGCATACCTTCAGATGTGCATGAACAGCCTTGAGCTGTTTCTGAGCCTCAGCTGCCTGCCTGTTGGCCTGGCTAAGCTGGATCTCCATCTCATTGAGGTCTCCCTCCATCTTCTTCTTCAGACGGAGGGCCTCATTTCTGCTGCGAGTCTCAGACTCCAGAGAGCTCTGAAGAGTATCCACAACCCGCTGTTGGTTTCTCTTTGCTTGCTCCATCTCTTCATCTTTCTCTGCCAGCTTGCGCTCAATATCAGCCTTGACCTGGTTGAACTCCAGCTGAGCTCTGAGGATCTTCCCTTCTTCATGTTCCAGTGAGGCCTATCATGGCATCGAGGAGAAAAAAGTGAGGAGAGATGAGATATTCCCAACCCCAAAAATGATGTTCATTTTGTAAAGCTTGTCTTTCAAACATTCAGCGTACCTCTGCCTCCTCCAGAGCTGTTTGAATCTCAGACTTCTCTTGCTCAAGTTGTTTGCGAATCTTCTCAAGCTCATGGATATTCTTCCCACTCTCACCAATTTGTTCAGTAAGGTCAGATATTTCCTCTGAGAGATCAAACGTTACATTAGCAAAGATTGAAAACTGACTTTATAAGAGCGATGGACTCGGAGTTACCCTTACCCTGCAGATTCTTGTTCTCTCTCTTCATGGTCTCCAGATGCTCTAGAGATTCTTCATAGGAGTTCTTGAGTTTGAAGAGCTCAGTGCTCAGAGACCTTGCTTCTTTCTGAGATGTCTCCAGCTCCGTTTGAGACTCCTCATATTTTTGCTTCCATTCTGCCAAGACCTTAAATATGCATATTATAGGTTTATTATCTAAAATACGAATACCTCAAAAAAGTTTGATCAAAATTCTGTTAAAAACCAGACATTTGTGGTTTCCTAATCTTTTAAATTTATGTTGAACTTTAAAATGATGCAAAGAAAACCTATCCAAATCTGAAACTCTAAGATGCTTATTTTTTACGATGACACTGGTTTGATTTTAATTTGATGCCATAAACATCTTTCAAAAGAATGACTGGAGCCATTGACCACTGAGATGCATCACCTCTACTTTTTACGTATGTGTTTGGGCATTGTCTTGCTTGAATGTGCAAGATCTTCCTTGTCCAGAGTGCATTGCTCAAAAATGTATGCATATGTTCAGCATAAATATTGCAAAGCTAGATGTGTAACCAACTCACATGCCATTAGGGTTGCCAGGTGTTAGATAATTACCGTATTTGTACAATAGTTTTGCCTTCTGTACAATGTACGATCAATAACCCAGAAAAAAGCCTAAATGTTTCATGAACATGTGGTGCAATGGGACCGTCTCAGTCCAGACACTTTATTTTTAATTTTTGTATTTGCAGACCCTAAAGGCATCTTCTTCCACATGATGTTTCCATCCAAGCGTAGTTTGAGTGATGTTTGTCTCTGAACAATGAGCATGTTTGGCTGTCAACTATGCTCATTCCCCACTTAGTTAGTTCAAAGAATAGCAGAACTAATGTGTTTATTTTAGAGTCTACCTTGTCAAAGTTTCTTTGCTTCTTGTCCAGAGCAGCAGCAGCGGCATTAGACCTCTCCACATCTACCATGAGATCTTCAATCTCGTTCTGCAGTCTGTGTTTGGTCTTCTCCAGAGAGGAACATTTAGCATTCACTGCTTCAACAGCCTCCTCAGCATCCTGCAGACGCTGGGCCAGCTTCTTTCTGAATATTGATAGAATTTAGTCAGGACTCTTTCTTTTCAATTTTGCAGAGGAGTTAAAGTGGAAATAATTTGGACTCACTTTGCCTCCTCCAGTTCCTCTGTCCTCTGGATGGCATCAGTTTCATACTTGGTTCTCCACTGAGCCACCTCAGAGTTAGCCTTGGACATGCCACGCTGGAGTTCAGCCTTGGCCTCCTGCTCCTCCTCAAACTGCTCCCTGAGCAGGTCACAGTCATGACGGGCAGACTGCACTGCATGAGCCAATGCGTTCTTGGCCTGAAGTGGAAATGAAGCATAGGTTTAAACGTGATCATTTGGACTGTTTTAGATGAAGCACCATGGTCAGTAGTTTGTTACCTTCACTTCCTCCTCCAGTTGTCTTTTCAGGTCTTCCACTTGTTGAGTGTAGGACTGTTTTCCTCTGGTGAGTTGAGATACCAGGGAATCCTTTTCCTCAAACTGCCTTGAAAGTTCAGCTAATTTAAGAGAAGGTTTCATTAAGTTTTCAGTATATTTCAGAGTGAATGCTCCTCAATCAAAGAAATTTGTACCATTTTCAGTTTGAAGTTTTGCTTTCTGCATAGAGAAGTCATTGATGGAGCGCTGTCCCTCCTCTGCTTTAGTTTTATATTCATTCATCTGATCTTCCAGAGACCTGCACATTTTTTCCAAATTATTCTGAAAATCAAAAGCATTCACAAGGCCATATGAACTTCTTTAGAAATGAAGAGGTTTTTGTTTTACTGATTAGTAAAGCAATAATCAGGCCATCAATACACAAATATCATGGATGAAATCCTCTTACCTTAGATTTTACAATCTGCTCCATGTTGGAGACCACATCATCCAGCTCCAGTCTGAGCTCACTCTTCTCCTTCTCCAGTTTCTGCTTGACTCTCTGCAGGTTGTCAATCTGCTCTCCCAGGTCAGCAACACTGTCAGCCTGTTTCTTCCTGAGTGTGGCAGTGGTGGCTTCATGCTGCAGAGTGGCCTCTTCAAGGTCTCTGCGGAGCTTCAGGAACTCTGCCTCTCTCTTCTTGTTCATCTCGATCTGGGCAGCTGTTGCTCCTCCAGCCTCCTCCAGTCTCTCACTGATCTCCTCCAGCTCTCTGGCCAAGTCTGCTCTCTGTTTCTCCACCTTAGCTCGGGCAGCTCGCTCTGCCTCCAGCTCCTCCTCAAGCTCCTCAATGCGGGCCTAAACCAGTGTATATGAATTACAATTTTCTTTTGAAGGATGTGAAGAGTGGCAAAATGAACTTCCTTGATTTTCTTAGCATTACCTGCAACTCTTTAAGCTTTTTCTGGAGCTGGGCACTAATCATTTGTTCATCTTCTATTTTACCATTGAGTTGACTGATTTCAAAGTCTTTTCTGTGGACGTAAAAGATAGAAAAGTATGAGATGGTACAAATTTAAAACATATTTTTATAAAAGTGCAGATTTTATATTACTTTTTCAGCCTCTCTTCGAGTTGCTGCTTATCATTTTCCAGGTCCATGACGGTCTCCTGAGCTAGCTTTAGGTCTCCCTCAAGCTTCCGCTTTGCTCTCTCAAGGTCCATCCGTATTTTTTTCTCTTGCTCTAGGGACCCTTCAAGCTGTGGGAGTCAAAGAATATCTGTTTAAGGTTTTAATTGTCAAAGACAAAACAATCTGATCTTGAAATTTTCTCCATTCTTACATCGTCCACTTGCTGTTCCAGCTTAGTTTTGGCCTTGGTCAGAGTGTTGACTTTGTCTTCTTCACTCTGCAGGTCATCCAGTGTTTGCTGATGAGCTTCCTGTAAAGCCTTCTTTTCCTTGGTCAGTTTAGCAATGATCTCATCCTGAGCAGCCATCTCCTCGACCAGATTTTTAACCTGTTTGCAAAAGAAGAGATGGATTGCTAAATGCCTCTTTGTGCTCCTGAACAGAGTCAGAGCATTTAATGAAGGTTGACGGTACCTTGTTCTCGGTGGCATGCTTCTCTTTCTCAACTTTTGCCAGAGTTAACTCTAAGTCATCAATATCTTTCTTTAACTCTGAACATTCATCCTCCAGCTTTCTCTTCTTTGCTGTCAGATCAGCATTCATCTCCTCCTCATCCTCCAGTCTCTCAGTAAGCTCTTTGATTTTTGCTTCCAGCTGAATCTTGCTCTTGATCAGCCCCTCACATCTTTCTTCTGCATCACAAAGATTATCTTGCTCCTGTTGTTGTGACACAACAATGTTTTAGACAGAAGTGTAATGTGATTAAAGGGGATTAAAAATGCAGTCAAGATTTCAAACATACAGATTGGACTTGGAGCTGCAGGTCATTCTTCTCTTGGAGAAGTGTGACCATTTTTTCCTCTAGCTCCTTTTTGCGGGCTTCAGATTTTGCAAAAGCCTCTTTAAGTTTTGTAAACTCTTCCTTCATGTTGGCCATCTCCTTCTCAGTCTCAGCAGATCTCAGCAGAGGTTTGATCTTGAAATACAGCTTCATCCAGGGCCAATTTTTGACCCCCATGAAGGCACGAACGTTCCACTGGATCACCAGTAATGCATCCCTGCAGACAACATAAAAGAACTGTCTGAAGAGCCTTCTAATGCAAATGCAAAACAGCAGTAACTGATACCTGCCAAATAATTCTCCGCCAGTCACAAATGTGTCCAAAGTTTAATGTGAGGGGTTATATGAAAAACAGCTGCCAGAGCAGGTACCTGCGTTCAACGATCTTCTGGAATTCAATTCTTGCCAGAACACCTCGTGACCGAGCTTGGAGCCTAGTGATGATCAGAGCTAAACGGTCATCTCTCATCTCCTCCAGCAGACCGAGAAGTCCAGCTTTGAAGAACACCTAGTTTTGGCAAACAGATCAAATGAGCATAGCAATCACAAGATACACATGTTAAGACTGATTGTCTTTTTATCTATATCATAATTTATATATGAAGAGACATCCTTACTTTTCAGTTTCTAAAATAATAGTGGTATACCTTTAACCACATTACCTACAAACATGTTATCAGCCTACTCACTATCCTTTAACATTAAATCTGTAAATACACAGTAAATACTCATGCTCTTAATGTCAAAATGCATTTCTCTGGCGTACCTTGGTATGGCCCAGTTTGTACTGGTTATGGTCGATGTCCAAAGAGCCCAAAAGCTTCTCTGCAGCTTTTTTGTTATCAATGAACTGTCCCTCAGGAATAGCACTCGGGTTCAAAATACGGTATCTTTGTAATGAAGATAAAACAGAGTTATGCCATGTTTCTAGAACACCAAGTGAGTACATAAAACTTAGTAAGTAATACTTTAAGGGATATTCTGGCGTAAGTTTAAGACATGGTCAAACACACCATTACATCGAGTTAGACACCCCCTTGAGAAATGAATTTTGCCGACCGCTAGTTACTAGAGAAGCAAGCGGTCAGCAAAGTTTTATAGTGGCATCACGGTTGGCTAAAGATCTTGATCTCCTGAATTTTGGAAAATAAACTTCTAGCCACTGTGGTCACGTTACATGCATTTGATGACCTTCAAGCAACCTGATTCTAAATTGTCTTTTGATTTTCCACATTATATATATCTGAGCAAACCTCTGTTTGAAATCTCCATAGAGGATCCTGTTTGGGAATCCCTTCCTGCAGATCCTGATGCCTTCCAGCACACCATTACAGCGCAGCTGGTGCATCACCAGAGGGTTCTCCATGGCCCCAGGAGTCTTGGTCTCATTGGGGATGATGCAGCGCACAAAGTGAGGGTGAGTACACCTCAAGTTGGTCATCAGCTTGTTCAGGTTCTCCTGTGAATTTACCACAGAGGACACACTGTTGCCAATAACCATTTTCATAAACAGTTATTTTGCAGATGATGACAGCATAAAGCCAAATAGATCAGAATCCTATAAGTGAGAGCATATTTTGCATCTGAGAAACACCTCATAAAAAGCTGATTTATCATAACCTTTACATTTTTTGTGAACTTACCCTGTGTAAGGCTGATACAGTTTGGAAGGATGAACCCTTTTTCTTGCCTCCACCACCCTTTCCCTTTCCACCAGACTCTTGAACTGAAAAAAAAGGAAAAAACACAGGTGAATGAGATTTTTTTTTAAAGGTGCAATCAATCTTTTGTTAGGCTTGTATTTAAAAAAAAATAGAGATTTATACTGGCAGTGGCATAGAGGGGTGATGAAAGTACTACATTCTTAGTGAATTTTGATTCATGTGATTTTGAGTTGTATGGGTCTCTGACAACGAATACTATGAAGGCTAGTGTATCATTTCTTTCATGGGCAGTGACTGGACTGATCAAATATGGGGCTGATTTTTAAGTCTCCATTTACAGTGTATTAAAAGTGAGGGCTGCTCACTGGTGAGTGATGATGATAATCACTATCACTTTGATGAATATTGAGATCTTTATTATTAAACATAAACATTAGTAAACATAACATGGAGGAAAAACTGGAAAATGTACATTTTTTAAAGTCATGTGTAACAATATTAAATGGGACCATGCATGATGGTCAATAAATCAAATGCCAGATTGTACTTCTAGTAGAGTATTTTACACTGTGTTATTTTAACTGAAGGATCTGAACTCCTCCACCGCATTAGTACATGTTATCACAGGCTGCAGATCTACAACTCATTCAGTCCTCTATATCTCTAATGTCCTCTATAACATCAAGACTTGGGCTTTTATTCTTTTATAATTTGGAACAAGTCCCTCACATCATAGCCTAGCAGTCAGGAGCTCGTCAGTGCTTGTGCATCCTCATGATCACATCAGCCTTCTCGTTGCGCTCATTTTGCCCCACAGCTTTTCATTCTACAACACTAATACACCACTACTACATGATGATTCTCTTAAAACCAAAGTGCTAGTTGTTTTAAACAACAAACCTGAATCAGCTCCTGCGTAATTCGCAAAGAGGATGGAAAGCAGCTTAAGATTAGACTTCTGGTAGAGTCCTACAACAGTCTCATTCAGAGGATCCTTGTTCTTCACCAGCCAGTTGTTGATATTATAATCCACAGTTCCAGCGTAGTGCATCAAGGCAAAATGAGCCTCTGGTTTGCCTTTGACAATTCTGGGCTTCTGGAAGTTATTGGACTTCCCCAGATGGTTGTCGTAAAGTTTGGCTTTAAAAGTGGCATCAGAGGCTTTTGGGAACATGCACTCCTCCTCAAGGATGGACATGATACCCATGGGCTAAAAAAATGTAGAACAATCAAGAAAAACTCCCAAAGCATTGTCTAAAACTGACAAAACACACATTAGTAAAATGATAACATGAATATGTCCTGATAATAAACTGTCATACTGTATCTCACCTTTTCAATCAGGTCAATGCAGGCCTGTAAGTCCATACCAAAATCAATGAAGGTCCATTCTATGCCCTCTTTCTTGTACTCTTCCTGCTCCAGCACAAACATGTGGTGGTTGAAAAACTGTTGCAGTTTTTCGTTGGTGAAGTTGATGCACAGCTGCTCAAAGGTGTTGAACTGTAAAATGAAGTGGTCTACAGTAAGACAGAGTATAATGACCCCTTAAACCAAATACTACTTCACAAACATTATGTCATGTATTATTTCCAGCTCACATCAAAGATCTCAAATCCAGCAATGTCCAGCACACCAATGAAGTACTGGCGAGGCTGCTTGGTGTCCAGGGATTGGTTGATCCTCACCACCATCCATAAGAACATCTTCTCATACACTGACTTAGACAGTGCACCAACTGCATAATACACCTGCCAGATGTCATTTGTTATTAAAACTGCTAGGCTTTATTTTCCAAAGATAACATAGCAAAAATATCTCACCTGAGCTACAGTTTGTCCCTTAGTGACCCACTCATTTCCTACTTTGACTCTGGGGTGACAGAGACCTTTGACAAGGTCAGCAGAGTTCAGGCCCATCAGGTATGCAACTTTGTCAGCATCTGTTTAGGAATTGTAATCATGTAACAAGGACATCACTGCCTTTCAGTGGTCTTTATTATCACTGTACTGTAGGTGGGTGATATGAGGAAAAAAATGTCATATCAAGATTTCTTTTTCTTGAAATCACAATTTTATCACAATTTTTGTCTTCTTTTCAGGGGATGAAAAATGGAAATGATAGATAAAATAAAATACTAATATTTTAACAATGAACAACATAACTTTTATCTTAAATGGATGGTCTCATTCTTAAATAAATTTGAACCTAAAAGAAGACTTCACACACAAAATTCAATATTTACAAAAATGAAAGGTAGTCTTATAGTCTTATAGATAATAAAAATCACTTCAAACTAATTTACAAAACACAACAGATAGAGAGCATTTTCTTTTCTCTTTCTTTCCTTTTTTGGCTGGTTCTTTTGTTTTTCGTCACAACTAAACAGCTCAAATATCTTATCTCTCTCTCTCTCTCCACTCCTCTCTCATTTCTCTCACTTCTCTCTCTTTTACTCTCAACTCCACTGTTATATTTAATGTTACCTGTTTAAGTTGATGTTTTGCCTATTATTAATTATCTCACATGTCACAAAGACAATTTGGCAAAGCTCTGCTGCTTCTTTTAAATCTCACAGCTCCCTGCTGAAACCTGACAACATAGTCTGGCTACTTCCTGGCTCATTTGTATACTAATAGGCCAGGAAGAAGAGCGGCCGTCCAATAACTGGAAGGTTGGCTGTTCGATTCCCTAGTCTGTCCGTTATGTCCTTGGGCAAGACACTAAATTCACCTTGCCCCCAGTGAGTGTCCTCCACTGGTGTATGATTGTGAGTGTTATGTGATGGTGGTTGAAGAGGCCACAGGCCGAAATTGGCAGCCATGTTTTTGTAGTCTGCCCCAGGGCAGCTGTGACTACCAAGGTAGTTTACCACCACCAGGGTGTGTGAGCGAATGAATAATATATCCAATGTAAAGTGCTTTGAGGGTCTCTGATAAAGCGCTATAAAATTTGAAGCATTATTGGATATGATGATTGGATATTCACTTAGGGGGAGGGGTGTTTGTGTGAGTGAGCATGAGAAGATACACACACAGCAGAGCAGTGGGACAGAGAAAAGACAGGAAGCAGATTCTGTATCTTGTCCTTTTTTTGGCTGATTTTTCCACTACTGCAGTTACTTTTATCAATGTACAACACATTAATTCTGTGGGTGAATTAAAATGTGCTCTCTTAACTTCTAAAATGTTATTTTTAAAAGGGCAAGAAATTTGTTTAGACACATGTTAGGGATACAATGCACACTACAGACGGTTCAACAATCTCTGTGCTTTGGCAGATCGTCGTCACTTTATAATCCGTCATAATCTAAGATCATCAGATTGCACGCCCCTACTGTGCAGATAACTCCTAAAGCATTAGGTTGTTTCAAAATCCATCTGTTACCTTCAGTGCCATCCGCCTCTGCCTGCTCCTCTCGCTGCTTCTGCTTAAACTTCATGTTGCCATGATGCATGATGGCTCCGGTCAGCTTGTAAATGCTGTTCTTTTCTTCTTGAGTAAAGCCCAGAACATCAAAGGCATCCTGAAATGAATATCACCAAATCAATGCAAACCTCCAGCATGATTTAGACATAATTTAGACATGGACCATTGACTGTTCTTTTAAGATCTGTCTTACATCAGTGGCCATCAGCTCTTCAGCATCATTGATAGAGGCTACAGTTGTCTCTCCTTGGGAGATGAAGGCGTAGTCATAGGGGTTGTTGGTGATGAGCAACATTTCTGAGAAGGGAGTAACCAAAATTATTGTTATAAAGTCATAACTCTCAAAATCAACCTGTGTTGTCGAACAATTAAAAAGTTTACTCATTAAATATCACGTTGGAGGCTACAAATAACTACAGCTTTTAAAAACGTGTATTTAGTTTAAACATTTTAGACCAATGTAGTCATGTACTACATTGGTTTGCAAAATCAACTACTTGTTCCTGGGGCTGTGCTGTATCATACTGCCCACAATAGTATTGATTTAAATTTTCAGGTGACAGTAAATAGTCATATCCTGGTGTCAACGACAAGATGATGTAATGACAAATGATGTATATTTATGGTCCTTTCACTTGATATTTCATTATCACAACAACTGAGCCCAACTGAGTGGACAAGACTTATTAATGAAGCAGTGGGTGATAACCAACCAAAACTATGATCCGTAGAAATGGCAATGGGAGCAACCGGCTGCTTTTCAAACAGCTTTATGTGGAAGTTTGTATAAAATGTGAAATTTCACACCACTTGTTAGCAAAGGTACAGAAAGACAAGCAATCATCATTAATCAGGGATGGCAATATCATGCACATCAAATGATGTGAAGTGTAAAAATTGTTGGCTGTTATACTCAGATGGTTCATCCAAGTGTGGAGAGCACCAGATGATAACAGTGCTGCTGCTGCCATCTTGTGGCAATAGATTTACACTATGAATCAGGTGGCATCACCATGACTTAATAAAAATATCCTTCTTTATATTATATACAGTATACATTCCTTGAGATTCAATGATGTGATTCTTTGACTACATTGCCAAGCCCTAGTTGCCACTCTGATCACACACGAATGCACGCACGCACGCACGCACGCACGCACGCACGCACACACAAACACCCTGCTGGATCTGTTCCAGCAAACCTGCCAAAATTACCTGAGCCCATCCAGCACATACACAGACACCCTTTGCACAACTTTACAGGTACAAACACAATGTCACTCTGTTTGCACTCTTTAAGGTTTTATTCTAATGTTTCCAATCTCGCACAAAGGTGTGTGTGTTTAGTCAACTCTTACTCCTTTAGCAATTGAGTCTATTAATACTTTGCCAAGAGTAACAAATGGTGCCTGTTTTTCTGGCTGGAATACATTTTACTAAACAGCCAGGTAACAGTTTGAAGTCAGATTTCCCATTAAAAGGCATGGACTACATTTAAACGTTTTGTTTTACTTGACCAGGAGAGTTTCATTGGGCATTGATGAGTTTGTAATGCAGAGCTTGTCTGTTTTTTTATGGTAAAAAGAGATAAGTCCCCAGTGTAGTTATTATGTTTTGCTGATAGTCTAAGAGCCATCACTGTCCCTGCTCTGAGTAAGCAGCATTATTCATTATCATCTACTATTGCTTCAAGCCGATTTGGACAAAATCAGTTCATATTAGATACTTACCCAGGAGCTCAGGCTTTTGCTGAGACAAGATCTGGTAGAAAATGTGGTAGTCCCTCTCAGCTCTGAGCTGATAGGTCACACGAGACTTTTCCAAAAGGTCTATGAAAGAAATATGAATGTGTTATTCTAACAAATTGATTGACAGGTCAGTTAAATTTGAGTCATAAACCATTTGCTTACAAGTTTCAATGTCAGCAGATGCCAGCTTTCCTCGGTTATCAAAATGGATTCGAATAAATTTACCCTGAAAGGAAGGAGAACAAAAATGTAGGAACACATTCCAGTCTGCTGATTCATTCATTCATTCAGAATATGATATAAGGCACTCACAAATCTGGAGGAGTTGTCATTCCTGATGGTCTTGGCGTTCCCAAAAGCCTCCAGTGCAGGGTTAGCCTGGATGATTTGATCCTCCAGAGTACCCTGACATTGGTAAATAAAGACAAATCAACAGTGTGTCTATGCACTAAAGTCTTTTAGTTTTGCTTTATTCTTGTTGCTTTATTCTGCAGTACACAGTGTTACTGCAGTACATACCTTCTTCTCAGCAGCCTGATCCTTCTTCCCACCTGGGGCAGCAGCAATGCTGGCAAAGTACTGAATGACACGCTTGGTGTTGACGGTCTTTCCAGCACCAGATTCTCCGCTGAGTGAAAGAGAAAGAGAACTGTACCTGAAACCGAAAACTGCTGAAGAGGATTTTATCAGCCGTGTGTGTGTGTGTGTGTGTGTGTGTGTGTGTGTGTGTGTGTGTGTGTGTGTGTGTGTGTGTGTGTGTGTGTGTGTGTGTGTGTGTGACTTACGTAATGAGGATTGACTGGTTTTCTCTGTCTGTCATAAAGAGAGGTTTTGAGATTGTCAGTGAAATGGACAGAATGATGACAGAGTAAAATATTTAACAAGTTCAAGTAATGACCTGCCAGCATGTACTGATAAGCATTATCAGAGATGGAGAAGATGTGAGGAGGAGCTTCACTCCTCTTCTTTCCTCTGTAGGCAACCACCACTTCTTGGTTGTAGACTGGGAGCCACTTGTAGGGGTTGACAGTCACACAGAAGAGCCCAGAGTAGGTCTGCCACATGAAGAAAAGGATAAGGGACAGTTGCCCGAGATGCTAAGATGTGTCATTAAAAAAGTAAGGGTAGTGTTGTCTTACATAGATCATCCATGCTGCATAACGCTCTTTGAGGTTAAACAGCACAGCTGGTTCATGGAGGAAGGTGAACATGGCCATGTCTTCGATTTTATCAAACTTTGGCGGATTCTGAGGGTGGACGTCACTCTCCTTCACTGTCACAGTCTGTGGAGGAAGATAAATTAAGTTTACTGTCACATCAAGCAAAGCAAGAGCTCAAGAAATATGCCCGTCAGCAAAACCTGAAAGCACACCTTTCCAAACTCAGTGTCAGCAGTGACTTTGTCACCATCTCGACTGGAGATTGTAGCTTTAACATACTCCACGACTGGGTCAGGTACGAAGCACTCCTTCTTCATGTCAAAGGGTCGGGTCTGGGCCTCTAGACGCTCCTTATCTGACTTTCTCAGATAAGGAGCAGCAGTCCCAAACTCTTTCATGGCAGCGTCACCCATGTTTCAACCTGTTTTAACATGTTGATCTGTTAAGTGCTTGTTGTATTTTCAGAATAGAAAACAGCATCAAGCTTTTTGAGTTATTACAAACAGTTATGTGGAAGAAATTGTCTCAATTCTTAGTGCACTGCAGCATCCATCAGTCATGAGTCAGTATTTTGCTGTGTATGTTAGTGGTCTAAATCTGTCTATCAAGTATTGGTTAATTCAGCTATACAGTTGACGGGATATGTTGTCATAAAAACAGATATTTCAGATGATATTAAAAACAGATTTTACCAAGGGCGAATTAGAGTCCAAAAGAGATCTGGTTCAATCTCTGTATTTCTAAGGAATCAGAAACAAAAAGCACTGATTCCATTGAAAGTAAAAGCAAAGCAACTAAAATACCTGACTTACATAAGGACTGTAAACTTAAAAATAGATTAAAAGTTTTAAAACAAAAGAAGCTGTTGAAATTCTGTCCCATAAAACTGTTGAAAATGTTTTTCTTACCTTTGACTCTCAATCTACAGTGAAGTGAAGTGATGAACCCAAAGCTGACAGCGGCCCCTCCACTAATAAAGCTTATTTATCCGCCAAATATGGCATGAGTTTTTGAGTTAAGGTTTCACCTAAAAAACAGCCTCCTAATTTGGCAGGACTGCTGCTGCTATTTGTTGCTGTCACCTTGTGACAAACAAGGCGAGGGCAGTGAATTGGACAAAGTAAGGGGTGGGGGCAAGAGGTGCAGATTAGAAACAGGCTTGATATCAAGTGTCTATTATTTTATTTCATATCTCATGGCAGATGATTTAATGCAGTATCTTATCTGCTACTTATTTGTTTCAGATGCAGATACATCAGACTAAACTTTTTTATGCCTTTATAAGTCAGTTCAACATTTGAAGTGCTGTGTTTTGATATGAAATGTGCTATTATTATAACACAAATGAAGTAGCTAATGATGGAAATTTCAAACAGCCTCAACATTTTATGAACATTTCTGGTCTTAAGTTATCCAGCAGATGAATTTTTTTGTATAATCAGAGATAAAGGGAACAATGATAAGTTAAATTCGCAAGAGTATATGTAAACATTAATGATATGTGAAAACAGAAAACTTCCTTTTTTTTTTTTAACAAATCAGCCCAGTGTCTCCTTTCTGCTTCCCTCACTGAGAGTGACACACCAGCACATTAACATAGTAGGACTAATTTGTTCCCCAAACATTGTACTTTGAAAACAGCTCTGAACTTATCTTGTTTAGATTCCTTAGCAGAAACATAAAGTTCACCGAAGGTTAGTCTTGTGAAGGGTGGTAAAGTGCATTTCTGCAGCCTGTGCTGAGACAATTAAGTGTTGCAGCTGTTGTCAAGTGAAAGCTAAGGTCATAGACTTGAAATTATCACTCATCGTTGTCCTGCCCTCTAGGTCTGCACCCTTTGTCTCGTGGTGTCGTCATGACATTGTTTCCTTTCCTTTGGCCTTGAGGACAAAGATAAACCTGTGAAATTCTTGTCTGGATTCTCTTTGCTTGAGAAGGGCTGCCTTTGAGGGCAGTGATATAGATGTAGTGCAGAGTCTGATATCATGATGGATGAACAGGAACAGGTGCATCACACCAAAGTATACCCTGAAACTTTCTTCAGCAAGTTTAAACTAAAAAGTTTAATTGGTGATTGGATTCATTGATAATGTTGTTCTCAGTCCATGCAATGTCTGAAAATTGTGTTTTAACTCCCCACTGAAACGTTTTCTGGAGGTCTTCATCTAAACTATGCTCCCCTTCCGGCTCTGGTCCCCTCCTGCGATATATGGGAACATAACTGTAACCAGACTCCTCGAAGGTGAGGCCAGCTGCTGGCTGCTCAGACCTAAGATTAAAAGAACAAATGGTGTCACCTTGATGTTCTATTGTTGGATGTTGCTGCTAATTAATGCAGAGGCATTTGCAAACACCAAAGTCAAGCTTGTATGTGACACAGGGATGCCAAAAGGTGTAACATGGGAAGTTATGCTCATATGTCAAAGAGAGGGTCAGAAGAAGGATTATCAGAGCTGATGAAGTGCGGTTAGTAGCGTTGCTTTTTTTTTTTCATTTATTAATGATCCCTCTCCCATATTTAACCTTGAAGGTCAGGGCCATGAGATCAAGGTCAGCTTCCAGCCTGAGCTAAGTTTAATGCTGATGTGCACTTTCACTTGACTTCCTCTGATGGTACAAGAACTTTAAATTATTCCTCCTCCTGCAGTGGAAGAATGATGAACGGTAAGTCCTTTAGCTTAAATCGGTAAAAAAGTGGATTGTTTCATTGCTGTCATGTTGTTGTTTTTTTTATTATTATTCAAAATTGAGAAACATTTTAGTTCATTTCATTTATTTGTCTGTGAAGAGTTCGTTTTGATATTTTGACACAAAAAAATTGTTAAAAATCTTAAGCAAATACAAATCTCTCTGTTGGATTGTTAGCCAGATTTCTGGCTTGGGGACGGTTTTTAGCATAAATAAGATTAATATTTGAATGACTTTGATACAAAAAGATATGATACAGCATTTATTTTGAGCTGATGTTCAAATGAACTAAGTTTTACTGTTATGAGGGTTGTGAAACTGAGCTTTTCATTCACAAAAACTGGTGGAATGAAAAAAAACTACAACACCAAAAATATTTTGGTGATGATATAAAATGATTGCTAAACAAAACTGTATTGAATATTTTCAAAAGTAGCATAAATGAAATAAGTCATACCGAGAAAATGATCTATGTTTTCGTCCTAGATAGAAAGCCCTGACTTACACACAGTCGCCATGTTTACATGGGCAAAATTTCTTGAGCCGATTAAAAATTTTGGGGGGATCAGAAAATCCGAATCCACTGTTTATATGGGGGCAAAGACAAATAATCTGATCATGACGTACATATACATGCACCAAACTTGATTCAGATTAGAAGCATTTGGACATGTACAGAATTGTTTAATTTCACTAAAACAACCACAGAAGAAGAGTTGTATCTACACCTGGGGTCCGTTTCACGTAGCAGGTTTAATGGAAACTCCGAGTTTGTTAACCCTGAAATCAGGGAAACTCTGAGTTTTCCGTTTCACAAAGGAGGGTTAGTTAAACCAGGGAGAGAGGGGTAACTCTAACCTGTTTCACAAAGAGAGGTAACTCAACCTCGCGGTCAGTTACCACAGTAACAGACTCCGTGAACCTAACCTGCTCGGGAGCAGGTTTAACTCAGTAAACCCAGAGTTTCAGGTGAGACATCGGCATTTTCACATTTTGATCATGTTTTACGTTGTCAAGTAAGTATTAAGTGGCAGTTTGATCCCTTAGAAAATGCTCTTTTCACACTCAAAACTGAATTTTACTCTCTTATTATGTTCCGTTAAATGATTAGGAATATTAAACTCACACAAAAACGGGTGGTGGTCCAGCAGCCCCACCTTTAACGGAGGCAGAGGAGCTGCCCCCCACCCCCCCCCGTTCGACGATCGCGGCCGGTCCGATCACAAATCCCCCCCCACACACACACACACACACACGCACACCAGTCCGACGATCGCTGCTACGGGGTGGGGGTTGCGATCGTCGAAGGGGGGGGGGGGGGGCTCCTCTGCCTCCGTTAAAGGTGGGGCTGCTGGGCCACCACCCGTTTTTCTGGCATCTGCCCTCTTTCTGTTTGCTGAGTGAAAGTCTAATATTGAGTGTAGTGTGTGTTAGTTTAATATATGTACATATACATACTGAGAGTTAGTTTAATATTCCTAATCATTTAACGGAACATCATAAGAGAGTAAAATTCATTTTTGAGTGTGAAAAGAGCATTTTCTAAGGGATCAAACTGCCACTTAATACTTACTTGACAATGTAAAACATGATCAAAATGATTCAAGCAGTTTCCCCGCAACAGTCTGTCATTGTGATTGCACGAGACTAGATTTAAAGTTACGCATTGACGCGAGCAGCGATTTCCTCCCAAGCCCTCTCCCTCTCCTTTGCAGCTGCTGCTGTATTGCACTTTCTTTTACAAACGTGCTGTAATTCGCTGTTGGCTTGCTGCTGCCCCCTCCTTCTCCCTGTTTCCATTGGTTGATCATTGAATCTGCGCTCCACAGATGCTGGCTGTTTATGTCTGGCGTGCACGTGCTTAACTCCAGGTCAAACTACTCGGAGTTGTTAAAACCGTCTCAAATCAGGTGTTGTGAAACCGGAAACTCAGAGTTTCCTAACTCAGAGTAGATCAACTCAGAGTTAAGGATTTAACTCAGAGTTTGTTGAACCACCTACGTGAAACGGACCCATGTGCTGTCAACAAACCAACAAACATGGTAGTGGCTCACTCCATCCAATTCAGGATTTTTTTCCCCTGTTAAATGTTGTCACTAGATGGCACCCTTGCTCACTTATTTTACTGTTTTGTCAAAGGTTGTACTGTGCGTGTAGATGTGACATCATTACGCTGTATCTATGCCTTGTTATGTTGTTATGTTAGGAGCAGGCATGGCACCTGCGGTTGTGTTTTATGCCACAGTGTTAATAATAAAACCTCCTGAACTGGCCTCAATAAATAAGCCAAAGGCTAAAGAGTGGAGACCTAGTCAGGTTAGAGAGTCACGATCGGAAAAAAAGTGACGCAGAATACATGGATGTGTTTCGGAATAACTATCGGCATAAACCACCCCAATTGGTCGGAATACAATTTCTTTCCAATTGAGCCGAATTGGACCAGAATGTCCTGGCCGAAGTGTTTACATGACGCTTTTTTATTTCGATCAGGCCTTTATCCCCATTATTTGTGCCCATGTAAACGCAGCTAATCCTAATTGTTAGTCTCAGCAGCAGTGTAGGGAGTTTAGTTTATAGTCAAGCTAGACCTCATAACCGCAGAAATTAAAACTCTGTCCCTTCATTATATTTTATTTTATCATGCACTTTTAAAGTGTTTGAAATCTTACAAGGCAGCATTTTTTTTCACCCGTCGTCAATTGATATTCTGACTTACAAGCAAGTA